ATAATTATTAATAATTCACCAGGCAGGTATTAAACAACATCAACATTTATTTGGCATGTTATAAAAGGAATGAGCTATGAACATTGGTATTTGAACCTACTTACATCATGTGTGGCATTGTATAATGACTATACAATGGACATAATTACATTTATACACTCCTGTCCCAGTAGAAGAGCCTTTTTATTGCTGCACAGATTCACTCCTGGAAGAATTGCAGGTCCCAATGAGGTGGCAGTGACTGCACACACAGCAGTGTGAATGAAGGAACCCCAAACGATCATAAAATGGCACATATTAAATATAAATATATATAGATACTTTTCTTTTTATTATTTTATTTTTTTTTACAAATTAAGTGTAAAATAATATTTTGCAGTCTCTTAAAAGTCTGGTGGAGAAGATGGAAAAAGTAGGAAGTGTGGCGATGAAGAGAAGCAGAGCAGATGAAGTGTTCACGATGAAAGGAAACCTCCTCCGTCACCCCAGCAGGAAAGTCTCACATTTTGGCTCTTAAACCTTCATGTGCAAGAACAAAAAAAAAAAGTAGCAGCAAGCGGGAATCTAAAGTCACACGGCAGCGCGATTCCGATTTTGGTTAAAAACTGTACAGTAAAAAGTCGCACGACGCACTCCGCGATCGCAGCGTCTGGACTGAAAGATAAAACACAGTGTGAGATCCAGCATGGTATATATGGGCTCTTGGTGGCACAATTCTAAAAGTCTTGTCTGAATCCAATATTTTACACTCATGTGCAATAGCAGAAAGGAAACCTACCTGTAGAACTTGCGGTGCAATACTTTTCCATTCCGGTACTGATCAGGGCTGTTCATGAGGCATCGAAATGACACCATATGGCCAAAAGGTTGTGGACCGCTAACCATCACAACTACATGAGCTTGTAGGACATCCCAAACAACCAAACCATGGCCAACAATGCAAAGTTGTTCCCCCTTTGTGGCTATAACGGCCTCCACTCTCCTGGGAAGGCTCTCCACAAGAGTCTGGAGGGTGTCTGAGGGAATCTGTGCCCATTTGTGAGGCCAGGTACTGATGGTGCATGAGAAGAGATGGCTTATAATCGAAGTTCCAATTCCTCCCCCTAAGGTGTTCAGTAGGGTTGAGGTCAGGACTCTCGAGGTCCTCCACACCAAACTATTGCTTCACTTTTACATTCATATCATACGGCCAAAAGCTTGTGGACACCTGACCATCTATATGAGCTTGAGGGACATCCCCAACCATGGCCATTAATATGAAGTTGCCCCCAACGAGCCCCCATCTTTACAGCTATACCAGTCTCCACTGAGAAGACTTTCCCCAAGATTTTGGAGGGTGTCAGTGGGAATCTGTGCCCATTGGTTGGTGATGACAGGTACTGATGTTGCATGAGCAGACCTGGCTCACAACTGGCTTTTCAATCCATCCCAACAGAGTTCAGTAAGGATGAGGTCAGGGCTCTGTGCAAGACACACGAGTTCCCCCACTCAACTCATCACACTATGTTTCATGGAGCTGGCTTTGTACACACGGGAACAGTCATGCTGCACCAGCAAAGGGCCTTCACCAAACCGCTACCACAAGGCTAGAAGAGCACAATTGTCAAAAATGTCTTTGGATGCTGTAATATTAACAGGACCCTTTACTGGAGACACCTGAACTCAGCCATTTGTTCACATACTTTTGCCCATATAGTGTAAATCTAAAAACGAACATGCAGCAACAACGTATGCTAAAAACAATGCGCCTGGTGTGACTACACTGTAAGCGCTCCAAGCGCGGTCCCTTCTACAGAAGTGAAAATATGGTAACATTATAAAACCGGTCTGCTTACATGCTTGTAACACGTATCTCACAGCTACACACACATGAAGTGAGATCCTTCAGTCAGCTGTGGCTGCTTCGCTGTCACTGGTAGTGTTGGGGGCTCTGGAAGGGAAGTCAGATTCCCAGCTGGAAAAAACAATCAGGAAGAGAACATTACTAACTGCATTCTGCTTCTTCACCACCGAGGGGCAGCACCTGTGCCTGTATGACATGTGACAGGAGGTAGGAGCGTGTGTAGGGAAGCTGGGTGCTCTCGATTTCTAGGTAATACCGTGATGAGAGAACAGCTGTATGAGCACACTGGTATTATGAGTAGGGATGCACTGATACCGATACTAGTATCAGTATTGGTGCTGATACAGATTATTTGGGCGGGTACTCCGATACTTACCTGTTAGCGGAACTTCCGGTCAGAGGGATATCTTCCTCTGACCAGCAGTGCTGGGGGAGCATGGAGCCGGCTTTCCAATCAGGAAGCCAGGCGGTGGGTTATGACCTGCCTCCCTGATTGGCTACGAAGCCCGGCAGCACATAATGACCCACCACCCGGCTTCCTGATTGGTCAGGAAGCCACGCTGCCTACAAACAAGTGAAGCCAGCTTCCTAGCTAATCAGGAAGCCGGGAGGCGGATCATGACGTGACGAAGGGGGCGTGCCCCGGAAACGCGTCGACACGCTGGTATACCGATCTGCACACAGGACACTTCTGACTGACTGCCACTGCACCAGTTTGGCTCTCGTTTTTATATTGTGTCCAATGCTTGTGATCCTTCCACTCTTGTGAGTATCCATTTTTAAGACTTCATCTTATTTCTCATCGAAAAATAAAATTAATCTGCACTAGGAGAAGGCGCCCCTCTCGTTTTTATCTTGTAGTGTCTCCAGTCTCCCCGACTGCTTTTGGAGCTGCCTCCTGCATAGATGCCACCACATCCACTCTGTCGTCAAGACTGTATTTGACTACCTCTGGCGCTACTTTTTTCATTAATTTTTTGGATCATGATCCTGACCCTGATTGGGTAGGAAGCCGGCTTCACTTGTTTCTGGGCAGCGTGGCTTCCTGACCAATCAGGAAACCGGGAGGCGGGTCATGACGTGCTACCTGGCTTCCTGATTGTTCAACAAGTGAAGCTAGCTTCCTAACCAATCAGGAAGCCGGACAGCACCTCATGACTCGTTGCCTGGCAAGTGAAGCCAGTGTTCTTTCACTAGTACATCGGCTTCACAGGCAATCAGTAAGCCGAGCCATGATCCGCCGCCTTACTTCCTGTTGATCGGGGCACAAGGCAGCGATACGCAGCATTGGCAAGTACCGAAAAAAATATCGGTTCTCGATACAGAAAAAAACGGAATCAGTGCATCCCTAATTATGAAGTGTCCAATCTCTGAGATCCAATATCAGGATATACACCCATTCACTGCCTGCTAATAAGGGCACACGCATGCGTCACAGATTCTTGCCAGTCGGTAGCGTAGGGTATACACATGTTCTACTTTCAGTTTAACCACTTGCCGTCCGCCCGTTGTAAAAAACCGGACGGACGACACTGCAGCATTGGTGGGTGGCCGTCTCCAGACGGCATTTTTTTTCTGCTCGCACGCGCCCCCTAGCGGGCACGCACGGGCAAGTATGTAATCCCGAACACCGAACTTCTCTTATTGGCTCCTCCATAATGTGACATGACACACTGCAAGTATGGGGCCCGCAGAATGACCCCTCATGTTCATTTCTCCTCACCTTCTAAGGCTGTATGTCTTCTCAGTGTGTCCGCAGAGAACTCGTAGGCAAAGAGAATCCCGCTGTGATCCTGGTCCCTCGGCATCTCCTCGCTTTCTGTATACGTCACGACAGACGTCACAACCTGTAAACTGGAGGGACCACACACAACGCATTACGGATCTGGGGACTGAGAGCCGTCTGCTGTGATATATGGACTTCCAGCAGTCCAGATCTACAAATCCCAGCATCTCCTGCTTCTATTTACTCATCACTGGTTTTCATTATAAGGTGGGAAGTTATCATGGAGACTGGTCAGTGAAGTGCTGCACTGGAGATCAAGGCTTACTCACCATTGTTCCTGTGGCTCCAGTACCGGGTCTGCTTCTTCTGTCACTTTGTCTTTGGCATTAGATGGAGAGGAAGCAGTGGGGGGACAAGCAGGCTGCAGATGGAGAAACACAGAGGGAATGTCATTTGTATCTATGAAAGACCACAGCGGGTCGTCACTTATACAGTCTTTATTATTCATCTCTGCATACTTCATTGTCAAAGAGGATTCCACTACAGCTCCACCCACCTCCATATCACTGATCAGAGGGCTCCTCAGCACCACCCACCTCCATATCACTGATCACAGAGGGCTCCTCAGCTCCACCCACCTCCTCACTGATCACAGAGGGCTCCTCAGCTCCACCCACCTCCTCACTGATCAGAGTTTTCCATATCTCCACCCATGTTACATAGTATTTGGGGTTGAATAAAGACATAAGTCCATCAAGTCCAACCCATGTCTTTATCAGTGATGACAGTAGGATCCTCAGCATCACCCAACCTTCATATCACTGATCACAGAGGTATTCTCAGCTCCACCCACCTCCATATCACTGATCACAGAGGTATTCTCAGCTCCACCCATCTCTATATCACTGATCACAGAGGTATTCTCAGCTCCATCCATCGCCTTATCGATGATGACAGTAGGAGCCTCAGTACCACCCACCTCCATATCACTGATCACAGAGGGCTCCTCAGCACCACCCACCTCCTCACTGATCACAGAGGTATTCTCAGCTCAACCCATCGCCTGATCGATGATGACAGTAGGAGCCTCAGCACCACCCACATCACTGATCACAGAGGGCTCCTCATCTCCACATCAATGATGACAGTAGATCCTCAGCACCACCCACCTCCTCCCTGATCACAGAGGGCTCTTCATCTCCACCCATCGCCTTATCGATGATGGCAGTAGGATACTCAGCTCCACCCACCTCCATACCACAGAGGTCTCCATAGCTCCACCCATCGCCAGTAGGTTCCTCAGCACTACCAATCTCCATATCACTGATCACAGAGGGTTTCTCAGCTCCACCCAGCGCCTTATAAATGATGACAGTAGGAGCCTCTGTACCACCCACCTCCATATCACTGATCACAGCAGGCTACTCAGCGCCACCTCAGTGATCACATAAGGCTCCTCAGCTCCACGCATCTTCTCCCTGATCAAAAGAAGCTACTTATTTCAATCCACCACCTTATCACTGGTTACAAGAGGCTCCTCAGCTCCACCCACCTATATCACTGAGGGCTCCTGAACTCCATCCATCTCCTTATCGCTCCGCTCCAACCAACTCCTAATTACCAATCAGAGGAGGCTCCTCAGCCCCAACCATCTCCTCCTAACTTATCACAGGGGGCTCCTTGGTTCTTCCCACCTCGTTATCAATGATCACAGGGAGGTCCCTCAGCTCCACCCCCCTCCTTATCAGAGGAGGTCCCTCAGCTCCACCCCCCTCATCACAGGAGGTCCCTCAGCTCCACCCCCCTCCTTATCACAGGAGGTCCCTCAGCTCCACCCACCTTCTTATCACTGATCACAAGAGGTCCCTCAGCTCCACCCACCTTATGACTGATCAAAGAGGGCTCCACAGCTACAGCTGCTTCTTGTAATTTGATGATTTCTCGATCAGGTGATTGTGTTTTGTCCTCTTTCTCAGTTTCCTCTTTGTCCTTTACATCACTGACTATGTTGTCCTCCTTCTTCCGCACCTACAGAGATAATCATTCAGTGTACAGGGGCACTGATTTTTTTTTTTTTATGGAATGCCGTACAGACTGAGGAAAGAGTGCCAGATTTATGGCTCCAATTAGCCATTTAATAATTCTTCATATGTTGCCTGTTTATCCATTGACACATTTTCCTTTTACACATAAAACATTCCATACCTGGGTCAGTTTTATAGAGTTTTCCCTGGAGAAGGCGGGGCTCTGTGATGGAGAGGGCTCGGTGGACCCCAGAAAGGCGAACCCCCTTTTCTTTTCTTTCAGACAGGCCGCTTGGTGTCTGCGCATCCTCTCCAGCTGTTCCTCCAGCGTCATCCGGGGTCGGGGGGTTTCCATAACACAGAGATGTTCCACGGCACTACGTGGCCTCTCCTGCAGAATAGAAAATAATTGAAAAATATCAATAGTGGAGAGCAGAAAAACTGGCTACAAAAGGAGCCTGGGGTTTTTAAAGTGCCACAAGGAGATGCAGTTACCAATTTATTGATAAAAAGCTTTTTTTAAAATTTATAACAAAGCTAATAACATGGTAAAAACACATTGTGGCCATAATGAAGTCTGAAAACAAATTCAGGCATATAGCAGGTTCTCATGAGGTTTGACGCATTTTGCAACAAGTAGCTTCTTCAGAAACCTCACATAAGTATCCCAAAACTTCTGTGTGTTCAAAAATACGGCCAGAAGTGGGCTCCAGATAGAGGGGTTTTTTGTGGGACTGGGAAAATGGTACTGTTCCTGTGGGGGCTTTCCTGACGGACCAAAGGCAGACCTGGTGCATGCCACAGTTAAGCCGTCTCACTGAGATTCCAATATCTAGGTAAGGGGGAAGCAGCCTCCATGGACAACTCCCAAAGGGAGCAGTGGAAAATCAAAAAGTTGTTCTCATGTATATTTAATGCTTGCGCTCCAAACAATAAGGGGATGAAGACATCAGTCCACACGTTGGTTCTTTTACTAAGAGGAATCTCCAGCACCCAACCACACAGGGGGTATATGCCTAAATGCCATTACTAGATGTACCTCAGTTGGAGTAGTGGATATTGGAGAGTAGACTAGACCTGGTCACAGAAGACGTTGCTTCACAGAGCTGTGCCAGGGGGTTTCATTCCATTTTCCTGGACTTTACTGTAGATTGTGCTCACTGAAAGCAGTGGGCTGGTGAAGTGATTGCTGTGTTCGGTTTACCCTGTCCTTGCCAGGAATCCGCATGCACCACCACTGTCCATGTGCATGACATCATCAATGATAATGGAGGGGAAATGTCTTGTTAACTGTCTTGCCCATTGTTAATAGCCATTTCAATAATATCTTGTAGCTTATACTATGGGAAATGGGCACTTTATGCACAGAGGCTGGTCTCTGGGTGCTGCTCTCCACCTTTGTCTGGAATACAGGAATGGATTGTAGGCAGGACAGGCCAGCTGGTCATAGTGGGTGAAGAAGTTTGGTGAAAAAGGCCAGTTCGGTGTAGTGGTTTTGTCTACTGTGTGCTGGTGCAAGTTTAGATTATTGACTTTGTGAAAAAAAACAAATAGTAAGAGAGGACAGCACAGAGCCGAGCATACACGGCCCAATAATACAGAAGTGACATACCGTGGGACAATAATGGACAGCAGTAACAATGGGTCATGGCAGGGTGAAAACTACAACAAAGCGTTAGAGATGGAACTTTAGGTGAAGATTCCAACAAGGTGTCCATTGCATCCGTGTAAAGTGGTCTGTGCAGCGACTTTCAGAATCACCGACATCAGACGTTGCAGAAGTAACTGACCTAAAATCCAAGGAACAGGATCCAGAGACCTCCAACTGCGAGGCCTTCTGTTCAATGTGACTGAAGACATTGAAGTTCACTTACCGATTTGCTCTCCAGTTTCTTGCACTTCCGTAAGGTGACATAAGATGCTATTGTAGTGGATTCAAGCTGAGGAGATTTTGTTCTTGGAGGGACAACACCGACTGGAAAGTGAGAACCTAAACATAGCAAATGTATTGTCACAAGTCATGTTTTATTGTGTAAGATATATATACTCAAGCACAATTGTTCTACAATTGCCTCTATGTGCCGTATACATAGAATACTGTATATTAGACTAGGAGCCTGCGGTTTGCAGACCTTTGCTGGTTGCATTTTCCATGTCCAGAGTGAGGTCCATCTTGTCATCGCCGTTTGACTCATCCACTTCAGCCACCGTGGTCAGCTCGGGTTCACTCTTGTACAGTCTGTAATCCGGGCCCTGCAAAACACCAGCAACTATTATTGCATCAGCCTAAGTTCTGATTTGGTATAGAAGACACCCCCCAAAGAGGACAACTACAGAACAACATTAGAACATGATGGAAATGAGAATGTTCTTTAAAAAGTATCGGCAAAATCCTCCACCCATAATACCAAAGATCCAGATCATCAGAGCTCACAGAAAGACGTGGGTCATGTTCTATGTTCATGGATCCATCAATCCTGCTCCCCATAAATATAACACAGGGACCTGCAGACACCATCACCTGTCTGATAGATCCACCTACATTTAACTAAGAGCTGACACCACAAATTCAACTGCACCCAACTTTATTAGTAAAAATAGCAAGTAACATATGTAAATCATGATCAGCGTGAGCTCGCATTTTGGTTTTATTTCTCAAGATTATTTGACAGATATGTCACAAAGTCACCATGGATAATGTACTGAATATGTCACAAAGTCACCATGGATAATGTACTGATTATGTCACAAGGTCACTATGGATAATGTACTGAATATGTCACAAGGTCACTATGGATAATGTACTGAATATGTCACAAAGTCACCATGGATAATGTACTGATTATGTCACAAGGTCACTATGGATAATGTACTGATTATGTCACAAGGTCACTATGGATAATGTACTGAATATGTCACAAGGTCACTATAGATAATGCACTGAATATGTCACAAGGTCACTATGGATGATGTACTGAATATGTCACAAGGTCACTATGGATAATGCACTGAATATGTCACAAGGTCACTATGGATAATGTACTGAATATGTCACAAGGTCACTAGGGATAATGTACTGAATATGTCACAAGGTCACTATGGATAATGTACTGATTATGTCACAAGGTCACTATGGATAATGTACTGATTATGTCACAAGGTCACTATGGATAATGTACTGAATATGTCACAAGGTCACTATGGATAATGTACTGAATATGTCACAAGGTCACTATGGATAATGTACTGAATATGTCACAAGGTCACTATGGATAATGTACTGAATATGTCACAAGGTCACTATGGATAATGTACTGATTATGTCACAAGGTCACTATGGATAATGTACTGAATATGTCACAAGGTCACTATGGATAATGTACTGAATATGTCACAAGGTCACTATGGATAACGTACTGAATATGTCACAAGGTCACTATGGATAATGTACTGAATATGTCACAAGGTCACTATAGATGATGTGCTGAATATCTCACTATGGATAATGTACTTTTGTTCCTAAATCTCACACACTGTCACTTCCGATGGAAGTTGTACGGACACATCAATAGACATCATTGCTCTGCTCATATAGGATAACGATAGTATAATATATAATATATGATAGTGACCCGTGGCAGGTTAGCTGTGACAGATATCAGGACCACAGGAACGTCATAAACCCCACAGTAATGAAAACACATTGGGGATACAATTCCTACATTTCAGTTCCACTAACATAGGTGACATCCTCTCAGCTCATACTTTGACAAGTAAAGACGTTTTCACATATTGTATTAGGCCTTTACGACTATCTACCATGCAAGTTTGTATTCCGAAGGGTCCGGATTCTCAAACGTATGAAATTTACAGTTTTGGATGTACGACCATTATTAGGAAGAAGTAGACGCAAAATCCAACATAGCAAATAGAAACTTGAATAAACAGCGAATGAAAAGTCCAGTTTTCACCTCATCAGGCTCAAACCCTGAACATCTTCTGATAGGAAATCAGCAAAATGTCAACCAATACTATGGAAATCATGACTTACTGAGAGTTTCCCTTATTATGTACATATAGATACAATGAGGAAATGGACACGGGTATTTGAAGGGTTCACAGAACACCATGGATGGGGACGGGGAAGATGGCAGTGGATGGAGATGACAGATGGGATGGTGCCACAGTTCAGTTTCTTACACAATAGGATCCGTTTCTTTGATTAACCTGGGCATGATGAGAGGTCTTGTCATCAGGGAGGTGGACGGGGCCCCGGCTGTAACACAGCAAGGACGAGCTGCTATCACTGGGTATAGGGGGAAGAATGGGAGCTGGATCGGTAAAGTCATAGGACCGAGGGAGCGGAGGACGTGGTGGGACAAGCTCCTCTTCCTGGAGATTGTAGAACAGGCAGTTTATTGAGAAATACAGGAGCAGCACACATCTATCCCTTCCAGTTTGACAACACAACTGTCAGCATCAGACCAACAACGTAATCCTTTTCTAGACTACACAAGAGATTTCTGATGATTAATAACTCAGCAATCTGTGATCACCTCTTAGATATCAATGTGATGCAGGTTATACAGAAGCAATCATAGGATTATTGTACCCACCCTAATCCTTTTCAGGAATCTAACCTTTGGGTTATACTGCCGCCTACAGGAGGATTGGACACTCTAGGAGTCTAGTTTGTAGTCTTGGAATACCAAGGTTAACAAACATCCCCCCATTCTGGAAAGTATGGGCATACCGTAATGCTAAGGAAGGTTTGTCTGAGGATTTGGCAGACTTAGAGTTCCAGACCTTGTAGGTAGACTGGGAGCCAAGTTCTGGAGGGTCTTGACATGTGGGCTGGAGACATTTCTCAACAGTCAGAGAGGTAAAGACTTTGCAGTCTGTTCCTTAGGTGTCTTCCACTGAGGAAGATGGGTGCTCTTGCCTCCACTAGCAGCCTTGATATCAAGCGACTAGCTTGATGAAATGTCCTTCAAAGGCCAAGCGAAATGACGCTTCTTGCACAATAAATCCACAGTTCAGCGCTGCCCCATGCATATGTATTGACATGACACGAGATGCTTCCAGGAAACTGTCACAACTAAAGCTCAACGCTACAGCCATATGATCTATGCATTAATAAAGGGATCAGCTGCAGCAGTGGTTAGATGTATTTTAGGGATTTGGACCAATCAGACATGGTGTGACAAAGTAAAGTCACAGCCAGTATTGGGTGAAGAGCAAAACCCACCAGAGAAAACAGGGCTCTAGAAACTGCTTATCATTTGGGTCCTTAACCAATTGAAGATCAGGATGTTAAACATGACAGGTTCCCTTTATGGAGACATCGGGGTCTCCAAGACCCCTAAATGTCACTTAGGGACCCACAGAGAAGGTGATGAAGCAGAGATCTACTTCCCCAGCTTCCTCCCGGCTTCTATAGCCGGGCATAACAGCTGAATGCGTAAGTGATGTAATATACATCACTTCCCGCATTCTGACACCCGAGAGGAGATCGTGTACTGATCTCCCTCTGATCTCCGGTAACAGAGCCGCTGTGCCGGTCCAGGCCCACACTGGGTACAGCGGATCTCGGGACTGGCGACAGGCAGGGGAGCTGCATAACTACACAAAATACAAGCGATCAGGTGTCTCTACAGAGGGTGGAGCGCTTGTATTTAAACAGCCATCGCTGGCTGTTTACATTTACTGTAGTTTACTCACTCTTGCGTGGCGCCCAGCACCGCCTTAAAGCACCCACTCACATCTACAAGGCTCCTGTCCGGCCGTTTAGGTACGACCAATGGAGGGGAGGTGGTTAAAGACAGGTGCATCCTGTATCCACCGGTATAGTACCTTGCTAAGGTGAGAAACAGCCAAATCCACAATGGGTAAAAGCAAAACAACCAACCAGGGTGCTTCTAATATTCATAGAGAAAAAGAAAAGCGGGTGCAAGGGAAAGGAGAGGAGATTTAAATGACCGAAGGTTAGGGATAGCACTGGTAGAAGCCCATGCGGATTCTCTAGTTTCAGAGTGATGCGTGCTGCATCAATAAGAGCTGAATTGGTCTCCTTTAATATGGCAGAAATAGCAGTAGTCAAGGACTGGAGGGATTCAAAATGAGACAAAGGGGCAAGTCCTCAGGTACTCACGAAACCCAGAGGGCTGGTAGGTGAGGGTTGGATGGCCTAATGTGACCAAAGTCACTGTAGGCAGTCTGCCAAATTGTATTTATTTTTTGCGAGTATCCATTACTCCTGTAGGTGGCAGTATTACCCAAAGGTTAAATACTTCCTGTGTTCCTCAATGGACATGAAAGAAAGATCATTACTGCAGTGATCTGCTGTTTCAGGCGTAAGCAGGGTGGAGCTGGATTTGCTCTTCCCTATTTAATGATGCAACTTACAGACTTGCTGATGTCACATATGATGTCACATATGATGTCACAGTACTTCCCCTTTAAACATAGAAAAGGTGTTGCCAGAGATTGCTCTTATTGACCACTCAGGATGGAGAATCACAAACCCATGAACTGATTGATTCAGATTTAGGAGACAGCAGAAGGTTACAACATTAACGTAGAAGGAAAGACTACCCAATACCCCATCTGTGAGCCGAGGCTTCCCCATTACTCTGATACTCCTTGCATACATTTACTAAACCTTATCTGAATACTGTTTTTACATTTTTTCTATGTGGTCATGCGAGCGCATAGCTCCAGCCCGAGCCTCTTTCTCTGCAGTTGGTGCATGAACTTTCTGCCAGATGACAATGTCTTGAAGCTATAGATGGAGGCAGGATGATCTCACTGCTCTATGGGATTCAGCAACGTTGTCAGCCCAGTACAGGAAGCACAGACTAGACGGAGCTTTTTGGACACGGGACCGCATAGAAATAAATAGGTATTTAGATAACTATTAGAAAATGTATGGGGGGAGTATCAGAGCAATGGGGAAGGGGTATTTAACAGTGTAACCTTTCCTTCTACTTTAACCCCCTGAGCCACAGAGACTAGATCCAATGAAGAAGACAGACAAATCCAATCCTTATGCCCTTTTAAAACAGCACCCAGAAGGAATTTAGGGGTTAACCAGGGTTTCCTCCCACGCTGCTAAGCAATTAAACACTATTTGTTGTTTAGGATTCAGCTTTCCTCACTAACAACAGCAGACAAGCCATATGAAGGGGCAGCACCTACCTCACTTGTGCTCTTCCCTGAAGAAAATAAATTGGAGTCAGAAGCATCTGCAGAAGGATAAATATAAAGATCAGTACATTTCCACACTAGGGAAACCTCTCCTGTGGAGAGAGAACACAGACACGTTTCCTTCCTATAATATTCCACGGACTGGTCTTCATGGATCCCACACAAATATATCAAAACAGACAGACATTATCCACCTGCTGATCTCTGCTGCTTGTGTTTGCTCAGTCCCTCCATCACGTCTTGGATCCGCCAGATCTCTTTCTGCATCTGCGCCCTCTGTATGCCGGCCGTCTCCGTCTGTTCGAACCAATTGGTGTCATCAGCGTAAGCAGACATTGAACAATGTGAGTAAAATGATATGACTTGGTGATCTAGACAAGAATGACATACAATGGAGGACACCCACCAAAAGGACAAAAAACTGGGATGGGAAGTGATCGAAACTTCAGTGTGGAAAAGAAGACATGCCAGGTGCTGAGCAAAATATAATGTATGCATCACTTTGTTATCATAGGTATCGATAAAGTTATTGATAGGCCTAAAGTCGAAGGCAAAAAATGTTCTGCTTCACAAAGTGTGAACAGGTGTGATATAGCACTAACATCTCCCTGGCGTGGACTCTGCAGTTCTATGGGGTGTCTATGAGGAGAATCACTGAAAAAAGTGAAGGGTTTCTTTATATACATCAGAGAGTCTCAAAGGGTAATATAGGACTGTACCTGGACCTTCCCCCTAGGGACCGAGAGATGTTACACCTCTAATCGCCAAGGGACCGGGGCACGTGACACCTCTAATCAGTAATGTAAGAGTGAACCTGGACCTCCCCCTAAGGACCAGGACATATGATAACCTCTAATGTGTAATTAAGGACTGTAGTTGGACTTCCCCATAAGGATCAGGACAGGAGACACCTCAAATGGGTAATATAGGACGGTATACAACCTCTCCCTAGGGACTGGGACATGAGATACCGCGAAGAGGTAGTATACTACTGTACTTGGACATCCCATTAGGGTCTGAGGCATGTGTCACCTCCATTCAATAACATGAAATGGAACCCCCACCTCCCCCCTAAGAACCAGGTCCTATGCCACATCTAATGGGTTATAAAAGGACTGCACCGGAACCATTCTCTAAGGACCAGGACATGTGACACCCCTAGGGGCGAATACAGGACTGTACCTGGACCTCTCCAAGACGCTCCAAGCGTTCCCTCAGCTGGTTTCTGGCAGTGGTGACTTCTCGCTCCAACTTGTCATAATCCCTCCAAGCTCGCTCCAGCTCCTACACAAAACACAACTCATCTGACATCATGGTACTGAGTGTCACAGGGCACATGGTGTGGTGTGGTGTGTGTGTACATTCAGGCCTATTGTCAACTTCCATTTTCCTAAAAAAATAAACCCCTTATTTTCTGCATTTGTGATGGAAGTAAAACACGCAGATGCTTCTGTTTTAAGATGGCTGATCTATTGCAAGTGTTTTTCAGGTATTTGTGATTTTCGTGTGTTTTGAAATCCAGCCAAAATGAAACTAATACAGAAAAAATATTTCTGAGCAAAGAAAAAATACTGAAACAGACCTCTGAATGGACCACAAACTGAGCCCAGAATTGTGAAAGGAACACAGAGACATGCAGCCAAGTGTGCAAGAAATACAATATGTGGTGACTGAATGGTGCAGCCATAGGAGGGTAATCCTTACCGTGGTGGCCCGGGATACCTCCCGACATGTACTGAGAAGCCCATTCTGCAGCTCGTCCCTCTGTATCACCACATTCTGAATGGATAATGGATTGTCGCCGCTCATCTCTATCTCCTGGCTGGCGGACAGCAAAGCTTGTTCCAGGGTGTACTAGGAGGGCATAAGAGAAACCTTATCGCTGTCTGATAGCAGCATGCTGTAATCTCTACCTGTGACCACTATATGTCACTCTTACCTTCTCCTTATGTAGCTGCTGCAGCTTCTGTTCCAGAGCCTGGACCACTTTATCCTGCTCACAGAGTCGGCTCAGCTTGGCCTGGAGAAGGGAGACAACTATGAATAATACGGACAGAGAGGTTCGGGGAGTCGCAGCGGACAATGATAGTTAGTAATAGTAATGATACATAGTCCCTATGTACACTGGGCAACTCAACCAATGTCACTCAATATCTTCATGTTCAGAGGGAGCCCAACTCTTTTATATAGAGAAGTACCTTAAATAAACGTGGACATGATGTTTACATTTCAAGTGGCCACATGCTTCTTGTATGGTACTGGTGTGAGCAATATTAAAACTACCCCGAGCAAAAGAAATGGATAGAAAACGGATGGCGACATGTGTTAATGTCAACCTTTACCCCCTTTGACTAAAAATCACATCAGCAGGCAGCTCTTCCTGCTGATATGAAACCACCCTACATTCATCAGTTAAACATATTTCTCTTTTAACTTACAATTACTGGTTTTCTACTTCCTGGTCCTCTTGGGCATTAGTGATGTAATGTGCCTAAAGTGTTGCATCCTGGGAAGATTACGCCAGCAGAGCATTGCTGGAAATCTCATCAGTAATCTCACAAAATCTCATGAAAGGCATTTTCCTCCCCTGAGATGATGTGCATGGTCACATGTCCTACTCACATGTACCAGAGTTCCGGGAAGTAAAGGGAGATGGATTAATCTGCTCTTAGTAAAAATGGCCGCTGCGAGAACAATGGGGAGGAAAAGAAAAATAAGGTATGTAACAGATAGATCAAAGTATTGAGACGGGAAGAAGTACTTACATCCACGTCGGCCTCCTCGGAGGGGTGTTTGTAAGCTGAAGGCCGGCACTCCTCCTGAGTCATCTGGAAGGACACAACATGCATTAGATGTGGCGAAATCTCAGTGCAGAGCTACACAGACCATAGGGATCCTTTACTAGCAGAAGATGAACTTTATTTTCTACACCCGGATGTGTCCTATAAAAAGGTATCCGCCATCTCATGCTACTAAGTGATAAAAATGTCCTGTGTAGCTGCACCACCACCCCTTAAACGGCGACACGTTCTCAATGGCAATGTGACAACAGCTTGTACCGCCAATACACAAACACGTCAGCTGGATGGACAGCAAAGCGCAGATGAGGTCTGACACTGGCCCACCTACCGACCGTCCCACCACGACATAAGGAACCTAATGATGACAAGGTGATCCTGGAATGAGCATCCGGACACGATGAGTCAGGAAATGAAAGTCTACATCCAGAATCCCTCCGCTGAATCATTCCATGAATGAGGAACGCACTGAGGCCCATTTATAATGCTCATCATCGCTCTACCAGAAATGGCTTCCCAATACTTGAACAAAAACGTCCTTTTTGTAAGAAGGTGGACATAACTCAACTTACTCAATTTTGTAGGTGGATTTGACCAATTATAAACATTTCTTGCCAAATTTCTGTATAAATTGTTGCAGATGATTTAAAGCTGCACTCCAACTAAATGAGAACACCAATCCATGCAGGTATGTGATCATTAAAAACACCAATTAGTTTTAAAGCGGACCTTTACCCCCTTTCACTAAAATCACATCAGCGTGCACCTCTACATTCTAATAGGAAATCATCTTACACTCAAGTTAAAACATATTTTTCTTATACTAATAATTTGTTTTTCCACTTCTTGCTCCTCCTGGGCATTAGTGATGCAATGTGCCTAAGTGATGCATCCTGAGAAGGTTACATTGGCAGAGCATTGCTGGGAAATCTCACGAGATCTCAGGGAAAGGCATTTTCCTCCCCTGAGATGATGTGCATGGTCACATGTCCTAGTCACATGTGCCAGAGTTCCAGGAAGTAAAGGGAGATGGATTAATCTGCTCTTAGTAAAAATTGCCGCTGCGAGAAGAATGGGAGTTAAAGAAAAAATAATATCTTTAAGAAGGTGTTTGTAAGATTGTCATTACTAAACATCTCTGAAGGTGCCTTTGTTGTCATTTTTAAGATAAGGGTAAAGTTCCTCTTTAAAAGTAACTGGTATTTATAAGTATCTCAACCTGACTTGGTATCAGCCTCGTGCAATCCCTCTACAGCAGATTCCAGACTGAGAGAGGGAAGGAGCAGCACAAGGAGCCAACCGGTTGTGTTGCAGTGATCATGTTCTAACAAAGAACACGCTAATAGGAGGAGAAAGCAGAGTGATAAAGAAATGAGTCCATCAGTCTGCTGCTTTTCTTTTCACTGTCCGCTTTGTGGCAGCGCTGTGTAAATCTTATGACTGGATGGTCAGCTATACAAATCCTTTGTCGGATAAAGCAGCTTCCATGTACTGTATTGTATTTCAACTCTGTGTTTCTACCTGTATTTACTTGCCTGGAGTTCAGTCACAACCCATCCTAAATCCATTCTTTACAATCAATGATTAGTGAATGATTTGTGAATCAATGTTTCCTTTCCTGTGACATTTTATTCATATTTCTATTCCAAATCATTAAAATTCTTTTTTTTTAACCCTAAATTTCTCAAACTTTGAATTGAAAATCCGCATGGAATTTGGTGAAGAGCAATTATTATGGCATCCTCAATAAACAGGCCCCACTGTGTTCATCCAACTGTACGCTGGACATGGATCCGACACAAGAAAACAGTATTTAGATGAACGTCTTCAGCTTAACAGGAACACAACTACCACCACCTTCACCGCCATCATCATCATCATCACCAGAGAATGCGTCGTGTGCGCTCAGTTGTTTTATAGTGGATGGTCAATGGGCACAGCGGGAGAGCATTTAACTCCACGACAGAAGCGAGCGATGACTGCGACACGCAATACAGACAAAGTATATACACCGAGTGAACCTCCCGCAATCTATAGTGCTAGCTATTACAGAATTACTGGTGCATCATGGGCTTCTGGAATATGTGCCCCAGTTCTGTCAACACAAACGCACTCGTAAGGCAAGTACAAGTAAAATGATAAATTTTGTTAATATGAGCTGCGGAGTCCTGAATTACACAGCAGAATATATGACACAATTATCTCCACTTATACTGCAAATTATCCATGCTGGAGGAGAGAACAGCGCAGCAGATGTTATAGAGACACACAGTACACAGAAATCACGGCTTCCCATGCAATGTACAGGGGATGGACACATGGCAGTGCAGAGGTGGAGGTGTGGGCAATGCACTCAGTGCTGGCTTTCCACGCAAAGCCCACATACATGGTAGGGCCAGGCAGTCAGGATAACCAGCACCACGGCAGATCTTCTGAATGTGCAGAGGTGGAGGTTTGGGCAATGCACTCAATGCTGGCTATCCATGCAAAGCCCACATACGCTCACTGGCCACTTTATTCGGGACACCTTGCTAGTACTGGGTTGGACCCCTTTTGTCTTCAGAACTGCTTTCTTTGCGGCATGGATTCAACAAGGTGATGGAAAGTCATGGAAACCCTTAGAGAGTTTGGTCCATACTGACATGATAGCATCCAGCAGCTTGAACCGTTGATACAAGGCAGGATGGATGCATGCTTTGTTATTTACATCAAATTCTGACCCGACCATCCGAATGTTGCAACAGAAATGGAGACTCCTCAGACCAGGCAACGTTTTTCCAATCTTCTATTTTACAATTTTGGTGAGCCCTTAAGAACTGTAGCCTCAGTTTCCTGTTCTTAGCTGACAGAAGTGGCACTCGGTGTGGTCATCTGCTGCTGTAGCCCATCTACTTCAGGGCTCAATGTGTTGTGTGATCAGAGATGGTACTCGGATGCATACCTCGGATGTGACGAGTGGTTATTTGAGTTACTGTTGCCTTTCTATCAGCTTGAACCAGTCTGCCCATTCTCCTCTGACATCAACAAGGTATTCTTGCTCAGAGAGCTGCCGCTCACTGGATATTTTTACTTTTTCGGACCATTCTCTGTAAACCCAAGAGATGGTTGTGTGTGAAAATCCCAGTAGATCAGCAGTTCCTGAAATACCCAAACCAGCCGTCTGGCCCCAACAACCATGCCATGTTCAAAGTCACTTAAATCACTTTCCTTCCCCACTTTCCTTCCCCATTCCGATGCTCGGTTTGAACTTCAGCAGACCATCTTGACCATGTCTACATGCCGAAACGTATTGAGTTACTGCCATGTGATTGGCTGATTAGATATTTGTGTTGACGAGCAGTTGAAGAGGTGTACCTAATAAAGCGGCCAGTGAGTCTACATCGTAGAGCCAGGCAGTCAGGATATCCAGCACCTCGGCAGATCTTCTCAATGTGACCACTGAGGTTCTGAATGTAAACTGGGTTGAAAACTGGACTTGATGGGAAATTCTAGAGATTTTATTGCTCTGGGTATCTGCACTTTCTTTCATTATGTCCCAAAATTAGGCACCTCCATAAGCTTCACTTACAGATTTTGGACCCCAGCTCCATCTGCAAAACATTTCAAGTGTTCTTGTGACAAACAACCTGCATGCTCCAAATGTCTCAAAAGAAGTCAGAGAATGGTGCAGAGGGGAATCCTACTGCTTGAACCTGTCTCAAGAGATAACTTCCCATCCTTTATATCTACTTTTTCTCTCTGCAAAGCTACTGAGTCATGACTTGTTTTCTCCAAAGATTGGAAGCTATATTGTCTCTTTGGAGGAAGAAGAATTAATAAACAGTGAAATAGAAGGGCACCACATACATTCAGAACTCTACATCAGGACTGGAAAAGTGCCAGGTGCCCAATACCAATTCTCCTGACAAATATGAACTGACTAATTGAGCTTCTCTCTTGTTGTCCGTGAAGACACGTGACTTGCCTAAGAAGAGCCTGCTGGCTTCTCCACTTGACTGATGGACTCCTGAATCCTACAGCATTTCCTCCCCTGCACTATGAATATGCAGGAAGAAGCTTGTGGTACATCTTCTGGATGGCTTGTAGCACCCAGACTGTAGACTGTGAGGCCTAAGTGAAGTCTTGGAGCTTCCATCGCTCCACAATACCTCCTGTGGCTGGTCTCATCCTGGGACTATGAGTGATAACCTGGGTGCGAGCGCAGTGTACAGTGCCCTGTTATAGCATGACGCAGACAGAAGCCATGCCAACACCAACAACAGCCAAGTTGGCAGCAGAAGCGTGCTTTCCAAACAAGAGGAGAGCCAAAGTGATAATGGAGAGCTTGCCACACAACCAGACACAGAGAGGCTTGCGGATGACATCACTGGAAATGGAGAGTCGGTTTATGATATCATTGGGAGGTGTGAGAAGGAATAAGAAGGAACCAGCAAACTGAGTCATCGTTGGAAGGAGAGTCCCTTTCAGATAACCAGGTCTGTGCATGATGTCACTAGGGGGGTGGAATGATATATGTCATCGAGGAGTCAGTGTCTGACGTCAGCAAAGATTGGAAGCCTGAATACAAAATCAAAAGAAAGGGAAGTTTGACATTTCACGGTGGGGAGTCAACACATAGGGGTGGAGGGCAAGTCTTCAGGAAGGAAAATTGATATATGATGTCTCCAGTTAAAAATGAATCAATGTATCAGGTCATCAAGCGGTCTCTATATAATGTCAAGAAGGGAGGGAGGGAGGGAAGGATTGGCGCATGGACAGGAGGAGGTTGATACATGGGGGAAATGGGTATTTGATGTCACCAGGGAGGCAGATTTAGAAGGTGATGGCATTAGGGAGGAGGAGTTAGTACATGATGTCACAAGGTAGGTGGGTCCAGCAGGTAATGTCACTAGGGAAGTGGAGTCAGTAAATTACCTCATTAAAGGATGACATTCAGCGTATGGTTTTGACATGGAAGGGGGAGGGGGTCAGCAATGTCACCAGAAATGTGAAATGAGTATATAATGTTGCCAGGGATGTGGGTTCAGCATATGATGTCACTAGGGAGGTGGGTTCAGCATATGATGTCACTAGGGAGGTGGGTTCAGCATATATCACCAGAGGAGTGGATTTGGCATATGACATAACAAAGGAGGCAGGTTCAGTCTATGATGTCACCAGGGAGGCGGGTACAGCATATGATGTTACCGGGGAGGGAAGTACACATGACAACAAGGTCCACAAGGCTTACTTGCTGGTACAGTTGTGGTCTAAGCGCAGAGTTCTCAATCATGGTGTGAACCATGCTGATTAACGGGTCATTGTCTTTCATCTATGTCAAACACGGAGGAGGAGCACAGTTTAGTGCACAGCCAGATACAAGAGAGGACATATAGCACAGTGACGTGACTCCCCCCGACCATCCGGGGCTGGCTCCTTGCTGCCAGGATCTTCTATCCCTGACCAAGAAACCTTACCCACTTCTTTCTTAATCAACCATTGGACATCTCCTCTATAATCATGGCTTACTATCAATTTATTAATAATTACAACCCTGGAAAATGGCCAGTTTGTGCTAACGGCTAATAAACGCATACAGGTCATTTATAAAATGGTCACTAGAGGAAGATAGACTCCCAGGGAAGAGCAGTGGATTACCAGGAGGGGTAGCAGTGAGAGTAATTAATACTAGGCCCATGGCCCTGGGGTTCCTTTGCCCTAACCCTGACATATTTGTTCTCTTGGTGGAAGCCTGGTCATAAAATGTTACCAGGTAGAGAAGCTACACGCTATATAGCGTGTTATATGTTGATTATATGTGAGCATTGGGGGGTTGGTGCCTGTTTGGCATTTTAGTTAAGCCCCTGAGAAAGGAGATTACACCAACCCATTCTCACTGGGTTTTCCTGCACCCAGAACTCACCAACAAACCTTCCACTACGTGTTCCAATTCCATGTCCTCCACAGAGAGGATACGCAGCAGATCAAGGAGAAGCCATGCAATCTGCAGCATTGTATTACTTTCCAATCGGTGACTTTACCCACCGTTATATGAACATCCTATTGCACCGTTTTCTCCAAGAAAACCACTTTCCTTTACAGCTTTCTTCTACATTTTAATCTACGGGGGTCTCTGTTCAGGCACAGCTGCTCATTTTTATTGTAAAATTCTGCTCAGCTGTGCTGCCTCCATAGAACAAATCTGTACAATGGAAACCAAGACATGGAGGCTAGGAAGAGAGGGTGGAAGAGTGGAGGAAACTAGAAAGAAATGTAAGACAGCTTGAGTAAGATTATAGATTAAAATCATGTAAAAAAAAACTTATTTAAACGGAAACACATTCATTTCGGACAGTGCTATAGGAATATAAATAATTAGGGATGCACCAATACCGGGCATTTCCAAGAATACTTGTGTTACTGAAAATGCCCCAATAACAAAAACCAATACCAGCACTTTTATTTTAAAATTGAGTTTGCTGCCTGAGGTGCCGTGCTAGTGGGGATCTCGCGGTAGCCTTCTTGGGTACCATGCAGCACTTGCTTGCAGCACTTCCGCCATATGCATTGCTGTTTGATGTATTGCTGGGATATGTAGTCCTCTATAGCTGGTGGTATTCTGCATTGCTATATAATGTGTTGCTAGGATTTGTAGTCCTCTATAGCTGGTGGTATTCTGCATTGCTATATGATATATTGCCGAGATTTGTAGTACTCTATGGCTGGTGGTATTCTGCATTGCTATATAATGTATTGCTAGGATTTGTAGTCCTCTATAGCTGGTGGTATTCTGCATTGTTATATAATGTATTGCTGAGATCTGTAGTCCCTCTACATCTTGGAGTCAATGGCAGAACTACCCGGGTCACAGCTGCAACTGTGCCCCGGCGCTCCACTATTGTCCTAAAATCATCAGTCTGTATTGTTTTAGAAAAAAAAGGTATCAGTAATTGGTATTGGTGAGTACATGAGGAAAGGTATCGGTACTTGTACTCTGTCTGGAAACAATGGTATTGGTGCATCCCTAATAATCAATAAAATGAATAAGATACAAAAAATACATTTTCAATAAGTGAATTCTGATTGGTTTACGGTCTTCTCGATTTACATTTCTAATGTATCCCGTTTGCTCCCTGAGCCCGTCAGCAAATCAAAAGGGAAACAAAAATGCTTTTCTAAACAAAAGACACCTTAACACAGAGAAATGTCACAGGACACTGGAACACGATTGATAAGATAATTAATTGAAAGGATGATAAGAAGTCTAATCTGGCCTTCTGGAGACTCGTCTATATCTGGGAGGAGAATTAAGAATTCCGCTCAGGCAGCGCGGCGGTTCAGCTACGGGTCACAGAATGTAATATTAACTCCAGCAAATATACAGAAAAAACTTCCAAATCCCACCTGGTGATCCACGTAGATGAGGTTCCTTTGAAGATGATGTGAGAGAATCTCGTTCTATCGGCCGCATTAAAGAATAAAGAGAGGACAGAGAACGTGAAAACGTCTGAAGATTAATACAGTTCTGCTCCCTCCATGCAACCCGACAGAACACAGCCTCATTCCTGCTACACAGACACCCCGGGGGCTCATTCACCGAAACCAGAGGGGAGAAAAGGAGCAGAGACGTGGAGCTGTCACCTATAGCAACGTATCAGGATGCTGTATGGTGTCTACTGAGGACAACTCCACATTTGGGCTCATTTTCTTTTTTCTAGTTTTAAATCTGAACTCCAGGCAAACAGCTAGAAACACATAACGGAGCTGTTTTACCAGTCTGCATTTCTGTCCATTCAGTCCAGAGATATCCACAGCTCTGCCACATGGCACAGCTCTGTCTTGCAGGACAGGAGACAGCGAATAGTCTAACACTTACAGGTCTTTTCCCTTCCCTGGCCCGTGATTGGACAGTGAAAGGAGAAGCAGCAGACCAATGAGCTCATCTCTCTGCTCTCTACTCATATCAGCATGCCCTTTTGTGCTTGTGCTGCTTTTCCCTCTCCGAGTCTGAGCTCTGCTGTACAGGGACAGCAAGAGGCTGATACCAGGTCAGTCAGGTACTTACCCCGCTTGTATTTAAAATAATACATTTAGATGCTGTATCAATGATTATGGAGCTGCGTTAATTTGTGTCTTTTATATCTTCCTGGAGTTCAGTTTTAATGAATCAGCCCTAAAGTATCACCACACAACCATCTCCATCCCCACCCTTCGACACAGATGACGACACAAGGCACAGTGAACATGTCCATCACCAACACAGATGATTCCAGAACTCGGCCCTTTTCCCAATAGGAGCCCAGTGAGGGCCGTATGATATAATGGGACATGCAGGATGATGTGAAGGGGTGTGATCACATTACATTCACAGTAAGGAGAGAACATGTGTCACAGTACATGTATGATGGGTGGGTAATACATGCAGCTGACCTGGGGGCCACACGTCTGTTTTAGGTGCAGCAGCTGTGTCAGTGTGTGTTCCCGGATGCTGCTCAGCTCTGCCTGCTGCCTCCGAAGTTTGATGAGTAAGAGTGTCAGCTCCTCAGGCTGGAGAGTGAGGAGAGAAGCCGGAGAGGACACAACGTTACAGGAGTTTATTGCGGATCACACACACATGTCTTTGTGTAGCGCTGGGGCTCGTCTTGTAATGGTGACTGCTAATGACATCATCTACCGAGCACTACGCAGGATAACAGACTCCTCTCCACCAAGTCCTATACACAGCTACAGCAAAACGTGGGCTTCAATGTCCCTGGAGGCAGCGACGGAACCAGCAAGGTCCCACCATGAGAAGAGTCCAGTCCGGACAGTATGGCATGAATTTGGGTTTATACCACACTATGGCACATGTCAGCTCCTGAACGGCAGCCTTAGGCTGCGGCTGTAGAACTGGACAAGCCTGAAATATCATCTCATTGGCTATTTTACTGGAATAGAATAATGGAACAGTTTTTGGCTTGTTTCACTTTGGTGCACAGCTGCAAGCATTGGTGTTTTGGTATCAATCACCGGGCACATTGTTAAAGCGGACCTTTAACCCCTTTGACTAAAAAACACATCAGCAGACAGCTCTACATGCTATGAAATCATCTCGCATTCATTAGCTAAAATTTTACTTACAATTATTGTTTTCCTACTTCCTGGTCCTCCTGGGCATTAGTGATGTAATGTGCCCAAGCGTTGCATCCTGGGAAGGTTACATCGGCAGAGCATTGCTGGGAAATCTTATCATGAGATCTCAGGGAAAGGCATTTTCCTCCCCTGAGATGATGTGCATAGTCACATGTCCTAGTCACATGTGTCAGAGTTCCAGGAAGTAAAAGGGCTATATAATCTGCCATTAGTAAAAATGGCCGCTGTGAGAAGGATGGGGATAAAAAGAAAAATAAGGGATATAAAGAATAAAAAGCCGGAAATTATCTAAAAGTATCTGTTTGTAGATTGTCATCACTGAACATTTCTAAAGTTGTATTTGTTGTCATTTTAAAGATAAGGGTAAAGTTCCTCTTTAACAAGCACCAAACTTTTGCCCTGACTGATCGCACAGATGAGGGGGTAGCCAAACTTCGTCCCTCCAGCTGTGGTGAAACTCTAAATCCCATCATGCAGCTGCCTCCGAAAGTCTTGCCTTTGGCTGTCAGAGTCTTGCAAGCCTCATGACAACCCCTGGTGTGGATTGTGCCTGAGGTTCAGATTCACAATCAGAATAGGAAACAAGTATGTTTTCAGGTATAATAAATACATTTTTCACACGTGGTATATAGAACGCTTGCGTCAAAATCCTTTACTGCTGACAATGTGTGCACCGAAAACCTCCACTGCTCAAAATCCTGCACCAAAATCACCGATAACTGATGAATTGATATTTTGGGGGAGCAACATGCTAGGTAAGACCTTGACACCCCTATGTATGTGCACATTGTGCTCTGGTCTGTTGCGGGGACTTAAGCTGGCCATACACCTATAGATTATCTGGCTCTCAAAATACCTGAACAATCTGATGCAGGCCTTGTTCAGGTATTTTGATAGCCAGCGGGGCGGACTAGCAAGATACTGAAGCTTGGCCCAGCGCAGACACAGTTTAGCATAGATGGAGGAATCTGTTGCACTTTTTCCATCTGACCACAGAAAGTCTGCAGATAATCTATAGGTGTATGGCCAGCTTTAGACACATATTGTAGGCATTTATCGTTGCCTTCTCCGGAGGGTCTCATTGGCTCAGTGAAGGAATCCTGTGGAGTATAACAGTGCGAGACAATGCAGTAGCTCCCAGCAGCTGGAGAACGCCTCTATTAGTCCTCAAAAAGCAGCTAAAAGCTAATTGGCTGTCAGAGAATTCTGCACACTACTGCTTATTCCATCTAACATGTAGTTATAAACGTACATTTTTCAATCCTGATTACAGAGCTCAAATGTAACAGGTTAGCTTGTCCTGTAATATTGAAGCCGTCCTTTCCACTGCAGGGCCCCTCAGTTGAGAAACCTGAGATGACACCAATTTAAAAAGCCTCATAGACATATTAGCAGTCAGCAGCCACTGATTGGCTACCGGGCTCCAAGATATGCTGAGACCTGAACTAAGAAGAGGCTGTCTGTGAAGGTTCTCATTCATACAGGTCATGGTATATCTGTAAAAAATAAATCAAGGCAACTGGACTTGCTGTATTATCTTGAAGACGTTTCGCTGCGACTAGCTTTCTCAATTCAGAAATTGAGAAAGCTAGTTGGATGACCAGCGAAACGTATTCGAGAAAAATACAGCAAGTCCAGTTGCCTTATTTTTTTACGAGAGACTGGGAAGTTAGTATTACCACCACTAGATGGCGCTACAGAGTCATGTCCCATTACTGCACTGAGCAAAAGGAATGCCATGAAACCAATACATAATGGGTAAAAAAAACTGGCACTCACATGGGGATCCGGCATCCAGTACTTAATTTGTAAAAAGGCATAACAGCAGCAAACAAACAAATGCTTACATGTTTCAGCCCCCAAACTGGACCTTCAAGCAGCGGGAGATTAGAGAGTAGAGCTGCTCAATGTTTCTAAACTGCCAATTTATAATGCATTGGTATAGTAAGTAAAAGAAAAAACAGCGGCACATTTTATGCAGCACAGGGGTGAGCGCTTTACAAAATAACATCAGGCTCCACTTGCTTTGGGACTCCAAAGAAAGCAGAGTGCCATTCACTTCAAGCAATTAGTTTTTTTTTAAAAGCCTCAGTCATGTGACTGGCCTCTCCTCCATGCTTTGCCTGATGAAGGGGATCCCGTGTGACCCCGAAACGTTCGTTGCTTTTTTCTACTATGCTGCACGTCAATAAATAGACGTTTGCTTGCCAATTTGGGGTGCCGGTGTCTCTGTTTCTGGCCTCTCCTCCAATCACGTTGTTCTCTCTGCAGCTTTATCCAGAGAGAACTTCCCGGGGGTACCTTAGGCTCCACACTGTGGCTTGCATTTCTTAAATGACTCATATAATGCACGTTCTGGTGCGGAGTAACATTACGGTGTCCAGCAGGGAGCATATAGCGCTCTCTCTCCGATGATGTCCGCTATAAATTGCCATATCAACTGAGTGTGAAATTCGGACAAGATAATCCAAGAAGAGGCCACACTAGTTGTAGAATACGACTTGAAATACGGTTATGGCTCTTTTTTTATGGGTTGAGAATACCAGGGGACTCTTATCAAATTAGTGTAGGGATCTTTGAAGAGAAGGATTGTTTTAAGCCTGGGTGAATAAAAGTGCCTTGACTCTTTTAAAATCATCCAGGGAGGGTGCAGGCATTAGAATACCATCTTCAGTCAGTGTGCGCTCTGAATAGTCATTATTTATCTGAAACTGAATTCTACATTTGGCCGTTTCATATACAGATTAGGGTAGCATGTTAGCACTGGGGTCCACGGTTCAAATCCAAACCAGGACACTATCTGCATGGAGGTTGCATGCTCTCCCTGTGCTTGCATGGGTTTTCTCCCATGCTGGTGGGTTCGTTGTCTCCTGTCTAAATTGGCCCTAGTATGTGGGAAAGGGACCTTAGATTGTGAGCTCCCTGAGAACAGGGACTGATGTGAATGTACAAAATGTAAAACATTGCCGGGCACTATATAAATACCTGTAATTAATAAGGAGATTCTCCCTCTCAGTGTATAGAGCAGTGAAATCAGATGCTGAAATTACAGGGTAAACCATATATAGATTATATTCTGTCTTCTCCCCAGCATACTGATAGTATAATGACAATAGACAATCACCGGGCAGCTCCTCTGAGCAGGACGCAGTTATGGCTGCCCCCATGTACAGATGTTATCACAATCTGTACACCGGAGCTGTGTGTTGAAAATGCTCGCTGATCAGATTTGTTACATTAAGCCGATCACGTTCATAATAAGGAAGACTTGGGATTCCATTTATCTGGGTGTATATGTGTATAATTATGTCGGAGGTTTGCTCTGTCATTTATCCAGGCAGCCACACTAATAATTAGAATAGTCAGATATCCGATTCCTGACTCTCCTCAGGCAGCAGATATGAAGAGATGATTTGTGGCGTTCTCAGCGGGAGGCGAGGACTTTGTTAGAGGTTTTACAGAGGACTGCGGAAGGTTGAGCACAGAACACCAACTAAACGCTGTTATTACAGATAAATACACCACTCACAGTTTTGCCTTGAAGACCCTGCGGTGTTTCGGGTTGAAGAGCCAATCCCGCTGGCACTGACCTTCTGTCAGGAACGAGACCCAGCTGTAGAAACACAACATTTCCTTGTCAAAGTGACTGCCAACCCCACGCAGGAAAAGAAAAAACGAATCTGGGAGATTCGGGAGCAGCAAAAGTGAGGACGCTTCCATTTTATTTTTAGGAGAACATATTCAGAAAGATGGAAAAACTTTGCTTGCTTCACAGATTAGCAAAAATAGGATCTTTACACTGGCAGATCATTGCGTTACATTTGTTGATTTCACCTAAATGGTGTGCTGGTGACATCCTTTTGAAAACAAACACAAAAGCATTCAAAAAACTCCGGGCAAATAAAAAAAACTGTACCCTTACCTTAGGTCTACCCCCCGCACTGCAAGGGTTAAAGCAGTGGCGTCATAAAGGGGGTGCAGCCCGCACCCAGGTGACACCAAAATGACTGTCATTTTGGTGTCCCCCCCCTCTGAAAAGCCATGCACTCGGTCATGGACCGAGCACCCGACGCCCCTGGGTTAAAGTGCTATTAAAGCTTCACAGATATTTACACAAAATGCATATAACTAGATAAATCTTACTGCATGGAATGCTCTGTTTGCTCTGCAGATCGTCTTTTTTTTATTTTTTCCCCCCAGTGCTGCAGATGACCTCCCGAGGGGCTCCATTCTCTTGCTATAACCTATGGAGCCAGCCACTAGTGCACGCTCCTGTGCTCAAGACTACAAGCTTTTTGTCAGACGCTGCCCGTGCACCCACAGACCCCCCTCAGGCGATTGATAGGGGCTCAAATATATATCTCCAAAAGGTTTTTTTTTTGTTTCGTTTTTTAAACAAACTTTATGTAACATTTCTCAATGTGACAACTACACTGCTCCACAGTCTGTAAATTTTAAATAAAGTTTGTTAGAAAAAAAAACTGCCTTACAGAGATATACTGGAGCCTTTGTGTTTCCAATGACGGCGGGTGGGTGCAAAGGCAGCTTCTTACAAAAGCCTGTAGTCCCAAGCACGGGTGCACACACTGCAGGGTGGCTCCATAGGATGCAGCAAGAGAATGGAGCCGCCCTCAGAACGGAAGTCATCTGCAGCACCAGGGGAAAAATAAAAATAAAGACGATCTGCAGACCAAGCAGAGCATCTCATGCAGTAAGATGTATCTAGTTACATGCATTTCTTTTTACATGTGAAACTTTCACTTTTAGTGCTTATTTTGTCTAGGAGACTCAAAAAAATGGCTGATCCCAGCTTCCGTGGTGGTCAACGCTCCCCTCTCTCCCTCTTGGCGTCCTTACATCTAATGCAGGCAGACGTGATGACACCAGGGCCCAGGGAAGAAGAGGCTGCAGCCCAGAGGAAGCCAGGAGCAGGTAAGTGAATCTGCTTTATTCCAGCCTCCTAAACCAAACAGAGCAGGAATCCCTTGCAGTTCAGGTATAACCCATCTGCAAGGGTAAGTTTTTTTTATTTGCCTGGAGTTCTTCTTTCAGTAGACTGGTAATGTTCCATTAGTAGTGTTCTACTCAGCGGTACCCCTTTTTCCAGTGTTTACACAGCCCTGCACATCTGTCAGTCGTTGCACATCCAGTTGGCACTACCACAGGGAAATAAACATCATAAGAGATTGGGGTGGAGGCTGCAGCAAGACAGGGGGAAGACACATGGAGGGCAACTGAAACCTGCTGGAAGCTTGCATGCGGCCTGTTTATTCTGACTTTAGCCCCTCTTTCTGTGCACATGAGCAAAACTTTATGATGTGATGTTTACAAGAGACAGCTTTTCAGTTTCTGTCAGGTCTCCTATCTATTCCTTATTCAGTACAAATATTAGCCTGTCCGAACCCATTTTAATATCATAAACTGAATAGCAGTGGAGACGGAGGTTCATTCCTACAGTCTATCATGGGGCCCTTTGACGATGAGGGGCCCTTCTATCCAATTCATCTACGAGATCGGAATTAAAATGGCATCTTTTCATAGAAAATATCAGCTGTGACATCTTCATAAAAGGTGCTGTGAACAATCGGACCAATCCATTTACAGATTCAATTCGATTATTATTAAAGGCTCCCTTGTGCTTTTTTCTCTAACATTCTCCCAAGAATTTACTCCACCCTAAGCCTGGAGTAACATATTTTTTTAATATGGGGGAGGTTAGAAATAAAAACCTTTCCACAGATTGTCCTGTTCTGCCACACGTTTCCTTATTCAGGCCATAGAGTCATTATGTCCCAATTAAGGACATAATAACGGAAACACTTATTTGTACACATACCAGATTTCCTAAACTTCCGACCCGTCCTCCCATCACTTGTAAGTTGTGTATTACTCATTGCAGTGTGCTTCGGAGGTAACCTATTATACATATATTTATTGGCGGAAGGGTAGTATAAAGATTACCTTGCTGGTCTGAGGTTTGGGTCGGCGGTCTATTGTCAGGTCTCCGCGCTGAACTGGTGAAGATACCTCTGACCTGTAGGCCCGATGTGGAGAATACGTGTGATAACCAGAAATGGAGCCATGAGATGGGGATAGGGGAATAGAGTGCAGGGTCTGGTCGGAGATATGGACCATGGTTTTCGGGCTGGTCAAAGAAGAGTGCCGCCGCAGAGTCGTCTGCTTATTGTAAAACTGTCTCTGCTGCCATTCGTACAGCTGCCACATTGTATCATCACGGATGGACCTCCGCTTGTCATCCCCTGTGGCGCTTATAGGACCCATTGTTCGGTCATATCCCATCCCTGCTGTGCTACACACACTGTCTGGGCGCGTCTTCAGATTGCGTGGCAATGTCTTATAGCCTTCCGGATAGCGTGGAACAACCTGAGCCCGATAACTCGGCATATTTCTGGGCAACGTCTGATAGGACAAGATTCTGCAACGAAATAACACAGACGTTCAATCATGTAATCATGTCTCAATCAAGTCTACACCAACTGAGGACAATTTTCTGATGGAAGAACATAGTGAGACCTGAGCTCAAAGACCTTTGATCCCTCAAACCATGGCGGAGTATTGGTATTAAACTCTAGAAAACCTTCACATCTCAAAAAGTTCTGGATGTAGAGCAGCTCTAGATGTACAGTTAGATAAATGCCTCTATATTTAAACTCATTCTGGGCTATAAACCAGTGGTTCTGGAATGATACACAATTGCTCTACATTGGTGGTATATACATGTGAGAAACTAGCAGCTCCAGATTGGGTATATGGCTATATTTTTAGGTTGTATATGGTTATAAACCAGCGGCTCAGGATGTAGTTGGATATATGGCTCTATATTTAGGATATATCTGGCCATAAGCTAGCGGCTCAGGATGTACAGTGGGGTATATGGCTCTAAATTTAGGTTGTATATGGACTATAGACTGTCACAGTTGGATATATGGCTCTATATTTAGGTTGTACCTGGCTATAAACCAGCGGCTCGGGATGTACAGTGGGGTATATGGCTCTATATATTTAGGTTGTATATGGGCTATAGACTGTCACTGTTGGATATATGGCTCTATATTTAGGTTGTACCTGGCTATAAACCAGCGGCTCAGGATGTACAGTTGGGTATATGGCTCTATATATTTAGGTTGTATCTGGGCTACAGACTGCCAGTGTTGGATAAATGGCTCTGTATTTACGATGTATCTGGCTATAACCCAGCGGCCCTGGATTGACAAGTTGAACAAATGGCTCTATATTTAGTCTGTATTTGTGGTATAAACGAACAGCTCTGGATGGACAGTATTAGGTTCTGTCCACTGTACTGGAGAGAAGTACAAGTCCTTGTCTTCGGATTTGTGCCTAGAATAATAGTAATAGGTTTCTCACCCACTGGAGTCATCCTCGGGGCCCTTATCTCTCTGGGTCCGGATCCACTGTTCCAGCTGTTGCATGGAGTTGGTCCTCTGGATTATTCTGTCGGGCTCCCCATGTGACAAGTATGGCCTGTGGTTCAGGCGGGAGTCGGTCTCAGTGACATAGCCGTGGCTCTCTAGGACTCTGTTGTCCGGCCCATTAATATGAATGCTCTTGTAGTGCCCTGGGTTTGCGGCCAGAATGTCGTAGTCGGAGATACAGGACTGCAGTTTCACGCTGTTTATTTTGGTCAGAGGTCGATCTTGTCCATCTTTCTGGAAGCCATATTTCTCCGCCTCCCAAGTGCCTTTCTCCTCCCCCTTGCTGGAAATTTCTTTATTACGCTGGTTATTATTGGCCTCAGGCCGGATTAGCAACCTGTGATTGGCCACATGGTTTATTTCATGGGTGACCACGTGCTCTGATTTTGCTGCGTTCTCCCTAAACAAAGGAGGGGGAGACAAGATGATCAGTTGGCTCTTCTCTATTTATTAGGTTATTTTTTGATGACATACAACACCCAAAATTCATGGTAATCCATTATGTTCTACAAACATTTTCAGAACTTTCACCTTTTTTCACTAGTCCGTCACTTTTCATTACCCTTCTCTATTAGACTTAACACGTCTTATGTCACAACCGCACAAGCAGTGATCAGCGCAGCTCCATGATGGTCTCCAAATCACAGGTCTGGTCTGTCCAGACCTAATATAAAGCACTGTACATCAAAGGATGAGCGCTCACTGTTATACCTCATGTATCACTTCCCCCTCCCAACTCAGGGACAGGGCACTCCTTACCATCTTGTCTTGAATTGTGATTGTAATGTCTTCCTTATATTGTAAAGCACTGAGCAAACTGTTGGCGCTATATAAATCCTGTATAATAATAATAATACTGCTGAAAATCTTTTGAAAAAGTGCTAAGAAAGCATAAAGTGTGTAAGAGCGATTATCCTGTTGCTAAACATCGATTGCATTAAATTCTCAGCATATATGGGGCTTCATAGCTTTATAAACTGGCAATAAAAGTGTACAGCTAAAATCAAACACACAAGACAAGAAGGTCAAACAAACCAGTGCTGATGGTTTTTATATACAGACCCACAACCAATGACTCTCCATTCCTGCAGGCAACACTGCTTACCCCGACTCTCCGTTTCACACCCTTAAGACAACAGTGCTTACCCCGATTCTATACCCTACAGGCAACACTGCTTACCCCGATTCCCCATTCTGTACCCTACAGGCAACACTGCACTTTCCATTCTCTGTCATGCAGGTGACACTGCTCAACCTGATTCCGTTAGTCCTGCAGATTAACTAAATTCTTCATTCCTGCAGGCAATGCTGCTGACCACAGTTCTCTGTCCTGTGTCCTACAGGTGTCACTGCTTACCCTGACTGCCTGTTTCTATGCCCTTCAGGCAACACTGCTTACCTCTGAATTTTCTGTTCTGTTCTGTTTCCTGCAGGCCATACTGCTTATGTCAATTCTGAATTCTTTGTCCAGCAAGCAATGTTGCTTACCCTGACTCTTTGTTCTATATCCAGTAGGCCTGGTGAAACTGCTTCCTTTGGACTCTCCATTTTGTGCCCGCGAGGCAACACTGTTTACCCTTATTTTTGATTCTATGTCCTGCTGGCAACACTGCTTCCCCCAACTCTCGTTCTATGCTTTGCAGGCAAAACTGCTTTCCCTGATTCTACATTCTGTGTTCTGCAAGAAACACTGCTTTCCCTGACTCTCCGTTGTGTGCCTGCAAGCAACAATGCTTACCCTGACTCTCCATTCTGTGTCCTGCAGGCAACACTGTTTACCCCGATTCCCTGCTCTGTGTCCTGCAGGCAACACAGATAACCCTTATTTTTGGTTTTGTGTCCTGCTGGCAACACCACTTCTCCCAACTCTTGTTCTGTGCTTTGCAGGCAACACTGTTTACCCTGATTCTACATTCTGTGTCCTGCAAGAGACACTGCTTTCCCCGACTCTCAGTTCTGTGTCCTGCAAGAGACACTGCTTACCCAGACTGTCCGTTCTCTGTCCTGCAAGCAACACTGCTTACCCCGATTCCCTATTCTGTGTCCTGCAGGCAACACTGCTTACCCGGGCTCTGCGTTCCGTGCCCTATAACAGACGCTGCCTTTCCCCGACTCTGCATTCTGTACCCGGCAAGCAACACTGCTTGCCCAGATTCTCCATTCTGTGCCCTGCAAGCAACACTGCTTACCCTGATTCTCCATTCTGTGTCCTGCAGGTGACCCTTCTAAAAATCGACTCTTTTGGTAGGTCGGTGTAGATGTGCAGTTTTTAGGATTGTGCATATACAAGGAAAACTTAACGTCTCAGAAATTTGCACTCGGTATTTCCCTCATGTGGAATGCTAAAGATAGACTACAAACCTCAACTACCAATTCCGCATTTGCCATAGATTTGCACGAGATTCCTGTGGTCACTTTGTGTGATGTTTCATGGAATATATCTGCTGACTCCTCGAATGTGGCCAGTCCTCCAACGAGCAGAATTTCCTGACTATGTGTATAATTTACCAGCAGACTGCAGGAGGAAAATTGCAGCTTTGTGTTCCGATCACGGCGACATGTCCTGTGGTACTGCTCACATCTGGGAGCAAAAAGCACTCTCGCACACACAGACACAACGGCCAATCGGCAGAATCTGAACAAAAGTAGATGTCTGGAGCATCTGATGGGTTGTTATCAGTAACGGATCAGCTTTTATAAGCCAGCCCAAGACCCTGTACACTGTATCTATGTACACATTGTTGTGTTGTGTGTGTGTGTGTGTGTAACTATGCACACATTGTTTTGTGTTGTGTGTGCTTCTGCACTTTATTCTTGTTCTACTTTCAGCTTAAGCAAGCTAAATAAATTCCAGGTGCATCAATACAAAAGGTGTACACAGTCTTACAGTTGGTTTCCTGTAGAAAACAGCCACAGCCCGAGTAGAAAAGTCCATTCGCTGTCACCATGCTGCAAAGAAGGACCCTGTTGAAAAGCAGTGGTCTCTCTACAGAGGTTTGTCATGCCCCCCTGCTTAGTCAAGGCTATATCTCTCCAATCAGAAGCAAGCATGAGCTCTACTGATTGCAGGGCTATAGCTCTGACTCATCAACTGTGGTGTAGGACATCTGCAGAGAGACCACTGCTTCCACACAGAAAGCAAGGGTCATTCTTTGCAGCATGCTGGTAGAGGATAGGCTTCTCTATGTTACAAGAGGGGCTTTTCTGATATATCTAATGCTTTTTAAAGAAAACAAACTAAGACTTTAAACATCTTTGGTTATGATACAACTGGAATGCATTTAGCTGATATACTGAAAGTTCAGTTTGGTGAGTTTAATGCATTCTCTCTGCATATATTTTCCCCATTCCATCAGACAAAAAAAACCTGTTTAGCATTTCCTGTCCCGCAGACATTCCAGTATTACTTAGAAATGCATTAAAGTGTGTTAAAAACACACACAAAGCCGCACGACGCTTGCATTTTTGTGCGTTTAATTTATTCCTCTGGAGCTTCCTGATGTGCGTTACTCATAATGCAATAACGACAACGTTTTTTTAAAACTTACTAATGTGGACATGCCCCATTAAAATAATTGTTTCTTAGACGTCCTGCTGTGTATACGCATTACAGCGATGTGCTAAAGCCACAGGAAAGCCCAGGAAGGTATTTATCCCCCCACCCAGAACTCACCCCCTCCCGCCAGGACACCAGGAGAGATTTTAGCATTATACCGTTTGGTGGGCTCCGAGTGTACAAGTGACGCACCGATCATGGCCCTCATCCACAGCTCCATCTCTTTGCTGGTGTCGGTGCAGAAGTAGTACGTCCTCATGTTGGAGTGCGTCGCCTGGGGAATTAAACAAACGTGTACTTGGAACACAAGCATAAAACAGGAAGAGATATAAATGAATGAACGATAAAGGACTAAGGTTAAAGGACTTTATTTATTTAAAAATAATAATAATAATAATAATAATAATAATAATATGAATAAAAGGCAGCAGCCAATTAAAAGCTCTTATTACTAGAGACGGATAAAGTGAGGAACACCACAGGGTGTATTAATGATAGGTTTTCTTACCTTGAAGGCGTATGAGCGGTTTATATGGTCCTCCAGGGTAATCATAGATATCTGGAAGCTTGGAAGAAGAATACTCCCCAGGACGCCCTCTTCCTTCTCATCTGCCAAGTGATAAGACTGAATTAAATAAGTTACTGGAATAGAGCATATGAGCTGAATAATAACACGACGGAAAACGAAGATGGGAACGTATCAGCACAGCTTCTGAACATAATTCAGATGCCTATGTATAAGCAAGTCTGTATAGCGCTGGACGGTCAGGAATACGGCTTTGTATACAGACGCCGTTATCTGCAATCAACCATCAGAGGGACACGATAGACCAGTGGTTCTCAACCTGTGTAACCTCAGGACCCACATTTGTCCTTGGTCATTAAGTTGAGACCCAAGTCGTATTGCAATGGAACGCACGGCAGTGTGAGCTGCTGTGCTGGAGCTCCATTCATATGTACATTGCGTGCACAGCTCCCATGTGTGCCCCTAGAGTAGCTGGGAGCCAGAATGTGATGTCACTCCAGTCCAGGCACCTCTATAGGACATGCAAAGGAGCTACAGTATAAGCAATGTACATATGGATGGAGCTCCCTCGTAGCCATACCCCTAGCCCACCACACCTCAAGTCGACACTTGGAGCCGGGCAGCATATTTTGAATAACTGCTTGGTGTAAGAATGGACAGTGCTGGGCTAGGGGGAGGGTAGCGGGAGGCTGAGTAGCCTCTCACCTAGAAAAGTGGAAGGCATATGGCGACCCACTGAACAAGGGGTCGCGACCCACCAGTTGAGAACCAAGGCTATAGACTATAGCAACCTGGTGCCAGACCTGTGGCCCCTTGCTTGATTTTGTATGGCCCCTGGGCCCCAGCAGCCTGGGTTTTCCCTGCCTTGGGATAGGCTTAGATCCAGCAAAGGAAAATGATTCATTAGACCAGCTTTTACAAAGTAAATGGTTTGGTTTATTTCTTTAGCACTTTATTATGTTTTGTATTTTCGTATTGTTCTCTGACCTTTAATAAGTGATCTTCGTAAGACAAATATTAAATGTTGTGCCAGTAACTTTTAAGGAGGCTGTAGAGCACAAGTGTGGGGTGATTGATTGGCAAATGGGCTGTAATAACACTAATCTTTAACAATTTCTCTGTCATTCTGCATTCTGGAATTCAGCTTTTATATAAGGAGCTTCCCTGGTACGGTGTCTGCAGAGCACTCAGGCCTGTCTCTCTCCATAGAAGCTCCACACTGACAGATATGAACTGGAGGCAGGGAAGGGAGTGTGTCCCTCCTCTCAGGCATTCGGCTGTGCTTGGCTTTTGAATGGCAGGTAATCAAATTACTATTGACTTACACTATAAAAGTAAAGAATTGCAGAAAACTTGCAGCCAGCAAACTCAAGAGATTACATAGCTGGCTGTATGTGAAATACCTGGAAGGGGACATGCTGGAAATGTAGAAATGCAGATGACCCGGAGGAGCAGGCAGAGGGAACGTCAATGGTTCTCTGTAAACTCACTATTCTATTTCGTGCACACAGGCAATATAAAGTTGCTACTTGACTTCCAGGTCATCAGAAATCTGCTGCAGACATGACAAGAATTCTCTTCTCCTGACATGAGGAATCAATTTTCTGACAAAAAGCCATCACAGCCAGCGCGGGGCAGCCACTGGAAGGAGAAAATGCTGTACTTTCTGTATATATTTACTTTGTGGAGGCCAAGAGGGAATTCAGCCTCTGATGGAGCTCGATAACCTGAGGCAAGTACAGAGACTGACATTCAATTACTTCTCCGGAGTGTCAGCTCTCTGAGCGCTCGCCAAGTCACCTGACCGTCTACCCCCACCCCGCCAGCGATACTAAACTCAGGACAATTTAGAAAAATAAACTGCGTCCGCCATGGAGCTCCATCTCCGCCGGCGCGATGATAAACACTTGTGTTCGGCGGGGGATCAGTGTCCACCCTGCTGTGAGCGGAGCACAATCTGCTGAATTACAGCAAACGACACACGGAGCCGGCGATGGAGGACGTGTGTGCGGAATACAAAGCGACGATTCCAGAGGGGACAGAACTTTGTATCTTATATTAGGTATAAATCGCACAGATAATCCAGTACCACCAGGTAAAACCGCACAGAACTGCGGACCACCAAGCATAACCGCATAGAATAGGGGCCCACCAGGTAAAACTGCACAAAATGTGTGACTGGGGACCACCAGGTAAAACCGCATAGAACCGGGGATGGGGACCACCAGGCATAACCGCACAGAATAGGGGAACAGGGGGCCACCAGGTAAAACCGCACAGAATGTGGGACTGGGAGCCACCAGGTAAAACCGCACAGAATGTGGGACTGGGGCCCACCAGGTAAAACCGCACAGAATGTGGGACTGGGGCCCACCAGGTAAAACCGCACAGAATGTGGGACTGGGGCCCACCAGGTAAAACCGCACAGAATGTGGGACTGGGAGCCACCAGGTAAAACCGCACAGAATGTGGGACTGGGAGCCACCAGGTAAAACCGCACAGAATGTGGGACTGGGGCCCACCAGGTAAAACCGCACAGAACTGGGGACGGGGACTACCAGGCATAACTGCACAGAATAGGGGAACAGGGGGCCGACCAGGCAAAACAACAGAGATTGTGGGACTGGGGACCACCATGTAAAACTGCACAGAATAGGGGACCAATCGAATGGGGAGGAGACCAGGAACGACCAAATAAAGCTGAACAAAACAGGGGAGTGAGGACCATCTCATAGAATGGGGGGACCGGAGACAACCTGGTATAGCTGCACAGAATAGGGATTCAGGTATAAATGCAAAGAACCGAGGATCATTACACAGCTGACTTAGAAAGCAGATGGATTTATTGGCGGAATACTTGACTGATATGAACCACTCATAAGAACACTTCTGCTGAGAAACCGCCTCTACATGGCCAGTCTACAACTGCTGCGGTATCGCTTTGCCCTCTTTAAGATGGATTGTGACAGTTCTACCAGTTCAAAAAAGGCCTTTCTGATGCATTTGGCTGAAAATGTTCCTGTTATATTTATTCCACTCTAAATCAGATATAATCAGCCATTTCCAGTGGAGGAAGGTGGAGAAGAACTGATCTCTATTTCTTGGACATTGACTCTATCAAACTTAAACCAAATGGAGCAAATGTAAGTGAATTTACTGGCACTAAAACGCTCTAAATTATATCTACAAACAAATCTATAAAATGGAGCCACTCCTAATATACTCGGCTATTCCGACCAGTTTAATCCTTAAATTGGTTGGAGTACAATGAAGGAGACTATTCACCCCTGTATGACACTCTGATCTGACATCAGCACGCACACACATACACACAAACAAACAATCCGAGTCTGGCCAGACAGGACTATTATTGGGGACGATCAACGAGGAACTGACAAATATCCACAAAGAATAGGAACGAGTTATAAATTCATTTTTTTTCTGGCTCATAAGAGTCTGCGGAATAGTGATGAGGGTTGTTCATCAGAATTCACCGCCTCTCTGCCTTACACAAGCTCGCCACTTCTGATCTTCCCGAGTCAGAAAGTCATGAAATCCGCTTCATTTTTAATTCCACCAAGCCGCCGCTCCCTGTACCGCTGAGAAATGTGAGTGTTAATATCGGAGTCTCCTCTGCAGGGCTCGGCTTTTTATGGGGCTCGTCTACAGTTATAAAGTGAACAGGTCTCCTGTCAGGTAAATAAACTGCTCAGAGATCTCTGCACTTCTAAACAGACGAGAGCTGATCTGTCCACACTCACCTCAGAGCCACAAGACGGATGAGAGCTGATCTGTCCACACTCACCTCAGAGCCACAAGACGGATGAGAGCTGATCTGTCCACACTCACCTCAGAACCACAAGACAGATGAGAGCCGATATGTCAGCACCCACCTGAGAGCTACAAGACGGATGAGAGCTGATCTGTCCACACTCACCTCAGAACCACAAGACAGATGAGAGCCGATATGTCAGCACCCACCTGAGAGCTACAAGACGGATGAGAGCTGATCTGTCCACACTCACCTCAGAGCTACAAGACGGATGAGAGCCGATATGTCAGCACTCACCTCAGAGCTACAAGACGGATGAGAGCCAATAAAGTCTGCACTCACCTCAGAGCCACAAGATGGATGAGAGCTGATATATCTGCACTCACCTCAGAGCTACAAGACAGATGAGAGCCGATATGTCAGCACTCACCTCAGAGCTACAAGACAGATGAGAGCTGATATATCTGCACTCACCTCAGAGCTACAAGACAGATGAGTCGATATGTCTGCACTCACCTCGGTAATAAAACAGACACAAGTCTGACAGGATGAACCAGCGCTTCTTCCACAATTTCATCCCGGAATTCGCCTGGGAAAACACAAAATTACTCCATTACCATATGAACTTCACAATATATTTCACATATATAATAAGAGAGACAGCTTCTCAGAAAATGGCCTCTGCTACAGAGCAAACATGACGCAGAGTATAAAACACTCAAGGGTTAAAATGTAACTTTATCTAAGTTAAGAAATTCCATCAGTGATTAGAAGAGAAGGCAAAATCTCCCCATCCAAAGACAGGCTCCAATGAGAGGTACCAGAGGTGATCTCCTCTAACTCTGATGAGATTTACTCCCACTTCCTGTTGTGTCCCCAGCACAGAAAATCTCCCAGACAGCAATCACACGGAGACAGAGATCCGGAACTACGCCACCCAAAAGCAAGGTTTGGGCTGGAGTTCCACTTTAATACAAAGCAGACATGGCGTAGGGTATAGTTGAGGTATAGTTGAGGATTAAAGCAGACAAGGAAGTGATGTCACCTCTGCGTACTCTCAAGGGGGTTAATGGAGACACACTGAGCTGACGCATCCTCCGCAGATGGCGCGTGGTGATGCTTTCACTACTTCACTTTAATTAGCACCACATGCAGTTCAGTGTCGGCTTTTTGTAACACATCACGGAAGGTGTTTATCGAACCCTATCGCTACATGTTAATGACACCGCCGCATTAACTCCAACAGTGCCACATTATGGCACACAGTATGTGACTACATGACGGCTGAGGTATAGAGGGGTCTCAATTGCTGCTGCACGTTGTAACAATCCGGACCTGTTGCTCAGTAGGTGAGAACTTCATTCAAACACAAACACAGGGTGGAAATGCATCTCAACTGTCTTCCAAGGTATAGCTGCACAGAATAGGGATTCAGGTATAAATGCAAAGAACCGAGGATCATTACACAGCTGACTTAGAAAGCAGATGGATTTATTGGCGGAATACTTGACTGATATGAACCACTCATAAGAACACTTCTGCTGAGAAACCGCCTCTACATGGCCAGTCTACAACTGCTGCGGTATCGCTTTTTCCTCTTTAAGATGGATTGCGACAGTTCTACCAGTTCAAAAAAGGCCTTTCTGATGCATTTTGGCTGAAAATGTTCCTGTTATATTTATTCCACTCTAAATCAGATATAATCAGCCATTTCCAGTGGAGGAAGGTGGAGAAGAACTGATCTCTATTTCTTGGACATTGACTATCTCTATCAAACTTAAAGCAAATGGAAGTGAATTTACTGGCACTAAAACTCTCTAAATTATATCTACAAACAAATCTATAAAACTTATAATCTATAAAATCAATTGCTGCTGCACGTTGTTACAATCCTGTCCTGTTGCTCAGTAGGTGAGAACTTCATTCAAACACAAACACAAGGTGGAAATGCATCTCAACTGTCTTCCAAAATGTTAGCAGTGCTGTTCAGCCAGTCTTATGATACGCACAGCTCTGCCATGCTGAATGTCATAAGTTTTCTTGTGCCATTTGTTTTTTCACTGGACTGTAAAAGTAACACTGCTGAGACAATTCCATTGCTCTCTTCCTGTGAGCTGCCTGCAGCTCTGATATGGTGGTATGGGAGCAGCTAGGGTGGGGTTAATGCAGTTTAGCGGAGACAGGCTGTTTTAGAGGCGGAGATGTTAGCGTTCACTTGCAGATGGGATGAACATGTCCTTTAAGGAGATGAACCAGCAATAATATTAACAGGCACTGCACGTAGGAGACCAGGGTGTTCTGTCAGTTAATAACACAACCATGGTGCCCTGTCTGGGTACTCAGCAGTCTCCTTTTCCTGCCATCTTATGTCACCCACTCAACCAACCATGGTGCCCTGTCTGGGTAGTCAGCCGTCTCTTAGATTCCTGTCATCATACGTCATCCACTACCCCCAACCATGGTGCCCTGTCTGGGTAGTCAGCCGTCTCGTAGATTCCTGTCATCACACGTCATCCGCTACCCCAACCATGGTGCCCTGTCTGGGTACCCAGCCGGCTCTTACATTCCTGCCATCTTCTCTCACCCTTTTAACCAATCATGGTGCCCTGTCCGGGGTACTCAACCATCTTTTACATTCCTACCATCATAAGTCACCCTCAAAAACCAACCGTGGTGCACTGTCTTGGTACTCAGCAGTCTCTTACACTACCGCCATCATACATTACCCTCTTTCCCCAACCATGGTTTCCCCCTCTGGGTACTCAGCCATCTATTACATTCCGGTCATCATATGTCACCCGCTACCCCAACCATGACACCTTCTCTTGGCACTCAGCCCAACTATTATATTTCCGCCAACATATGTCTTCCTCTCTCCCAAAAATGGTGCCCTGCCTGGGTGCTCAGCCACTTCTTTCATTCCTGCCATCATATATAACCCTCTCCCTAACCATGGTACCCTGTCCGAGTATCTGGCGCCTCTTACACTCCCGCTATTTTATATCACCAGGCACCCCAACCATAGTGCCCTGCCTGGGTACTCAGCCACCTAACATTCCTGCCATCATAATGTAACTTCTCTCCCAACCATGACGCCTTGTCTGGGTACCCAGCCGTCTCTTACATTCCTGTCATTATATGTCACATGCTACCCCCGCAGCTCACAATCTATAGGAGAGACAATGCATATACCTTCTTGTAGAGCCAGCCACGCATAATCACCGGGGCATTGGGGTTCCTCTTTATTGAATTCGATCTCTTCCCAAAATTGTGGACTTTTCCAGAAGCTCTGGAGGACTGGAAGAGAAGAGACACATCATTAATCTATATACCCAAATATTATTATTATACAGGATTTATATAGCGCCAACAGTTTGCGCATCGCTTTACAATATAAGGAAGACATTACAATCACAATACAATTCCTGACAAGATGGTAAGGAGGGCCCTGCCCCTGAGGGCCTATAATTTACAATGGAAGAATCCCATTTCTGCCGTTTGACCCTCTATTACTCCAGAATGTCCACATTATGTCACATCTTCTTCACATACAAAAGTGACAGAATTACTCTAATATACTAATTGTCAACTTTGTTTATTTCATGACGGATATCACAGCGGCTGGAAGTAGGTGGAGGGTAGCGGCACTTCCAGTAAATATGGTTTTCATTTGGTTTGGTATGAATTGAAATCCAGAAAACATCCAGTATATGTAAACCTGAAATGGATGACATTCAGGTTACTCTTTGCACCGGGTATCAGGAACAATTGTCATGTTTTTTCCCTTTTTCATCTTTTGTTCCACCACCTCAATCATGCTGATCACCTGCAGCCACTTCCTATCTACATGCACCCAGCAATGGCATTTCTCAGCGTGTTAATGTTTTATAAATTCCATTTCCATGTACAGTTTGTAGTAACATATAAGTGGGGGCGGCCATATTCTCTCATAACTTTATCAGCCTAACAGTAATAATGATAGTGATTTACTGCTCTGCTTCTTCAGTGATTGTCTAATCAGGCTGCTTGAAGATTATATGATATGTAGGTGGCTTCTTGTGTAACATTTGTTGAGGGAGGCTGACCTCATTCTACACAGAGAGCAGCTGGATGGAAAAGTCACCAATCTTTATATGGAGTAAGAATGGAGATACGGAACATCAAACATGTAACAAATTACATAGAAAACTATTTTCAGGTAAAGGTTAAAATATTGAGAGTTAGAAGCAACACCCCAACAATGCGCTGTGCGTTCAGCTCTTCATAGGAGGAGGCGAGAAGAAATGAGGAGGTGGGAGAGAGGCAGCATATAGACAATATCAGGTACACCATATACCGAATCTGCCGGCAGGAGACGAGCTCTAATTATACGTCTCTCTGTTCTTTATAAAGAAATAATCTGCAGCGCAGGCAGCATGAAAGTGGGCGACAGAATAACAGAACTTCGAATGTAGGGCTGAATATCCAGAATAAAGGGGGATTAACCATCTGCGAGGCACACCGACACGTGCTGTCACCATGTACATACTGATCACCCGACCTCCAGATCCTATAGTGCCACGTGCCATCACTATGTACATACTAGGGATGCACAGATACTTTTCGAGTACCAGTGCAGATACTTGGCCTTTTCATGAGAACTACCAGGGTTGCAGCGGTTGCAGCTGGGACCTGGCTCTGGCACTCCACCACTGTCCTGAAATCATTAGTCTGTATTGTTTTAGAAAAACTGTCACATGATAATAAACAAAAATGTATCAGTACTCGTACTTGTAAGTACTCGGCAAGTACCCGTACTCGCAAAACTGGTATCTGTGCATCCCTTTATTTATAAAAACAAAATTGTACATTAAAACAGAGATGTACAAATCCCAGGAGCTCCGTGTGCTCCTTACAAATGACAGCCGCCTCCTAACTTTTGAATTTTTCTCTAGTGTAGTTTTGGAGCTCAAAAGTATCGGTACATGTACTCGTACCTGTACCGAGTACTGTACTTGGTATCTGTGCAACCCTAGTACATACTGATCACCCGACCTCCAGATCTTATACTGCCAGGTGCCCTCACCATGTACATACTGATCACCTGACCTCCAGATCCTATAGTGCCATCACTATGTACATACTGATCACCTAAACCGCCAGATCCTATACTGCCAAGTGCCGTCACCATGTACATACTGATCACCTGACCTCCAGATCCTATACTGCCAGGTAGATCAGATCACCTGAACTTCACATCTTGCACCACTGGGTTCTGTCACCATGTACATACTGATCACCAGAACCTATACTACCAGGTTCTGTAACCATGTACAAACTAATCACCTGACTTTTAGATCCTATACCACGAGGTAAAGACTGATCACCTGACTTTTAGATCCTATACCACCAGGTACAGACTGATCACCTGACTTTTAGATCTTATACCACCAGGTACAGACTGATCACCTAACTTTTAGATCCTATAACACCAGGTGCTGTCTCAACGTAGATACTAATTATCTGACCTCAATCTCCTATACTGCCAGGTCCGTTGACAATGTACATACTAATTACCTTACTTCCAGATCCTATACCAGGTGCCGTCTCCATGTATATAGTGATCATCTGACCTACGGTATATCTCCTATAGCGCCAGGAACCATAACCATGCACATATGGATCACCGGACTGCCAGATGCCATCACCATGTACATACTGATCACCTGACCTCCAGATCTTATACTGCAGGTGCCATCACCATGTACATACTGATCACCTGACCCCCAAAAACTATACCGTCAGGTCCCTTGACCATATACATATTGATCACCTCACCTCCATCTCCTATACCGCCAGATGCCATCACCATGTACGTACTGGTCACCTGGCCTCCTGGTATTTTCAGGTAATTAATGGAGCCCGTGTATTCCTCTAAGCACAGGTAACTATCGCTGTGAATTGTTCAGTACAAAAGCTTTAGTTACCATTACAATGAGAACCCAATGTGAGATAAAACTGAGCACTCTTCCCTTTACAGCATGCATTACATTTACAGCATAAAGTTCGTCAGGATGAGCCCCGAACCTTCCACCATTATTCAGCAAACACTGACCCGGCTGATGGGGCTGGAAGGGTTTCCCGTGGAGGTCTGAGCATTGCAGTTGGAAGTGTCACTCGTTACGCTAGTAGCCCGGCCCTTTGTTTCCTCAGAGGTCATGGTAGAGGGGGTCCTATGAATGACAGAAAGAAGAACATGAAAGACATGAAAGACATGAGAACAATCTCAGATGAGAAGACAACTCTTCGTAATCACATATAGAAGAGAATTGTACACGAAGAGTCAGAAGATTATCTCAGATATGTGACAGCAAAATATCCAACATGAACGGCATCTCTCAAGTCCTCTGAGCTCAGGCGGGGGGGCGAGCTGTGCTGGGAGCACCAATGTCAGTCTACATGATGGAGATGGTATGAAAGATGTCCTCATCTGAAGTGTACAGAAGAAACAAAGCTACAATGTGTCAGAAGGACCAACACACATCACAGGAATCTTGTTACAATGCATCAGGACCAGTCACAGGAATGGTGTCACAATGTATCAGGACCGGTCACAGGAATGGTGTCGCAATGTATGTGGACCATGTGACGGACTGAACCGTCACTGGTGCTGTTGGAGGAGCCTGAGGGCTAGCCTCCTTCCAACTGACTATGGACCCAGAACTATGGAGACCCCCCCTCGGACCTCTTGGGGTTACAATTAACCATTGTACCAGGTTTATGTGTGGGGGGATGTACTGTACATTTTCCCTGGCATTACATTTGGATGACCCTGTGTGTATTATAGGTACAGGCTGTGACTCCAGGAGCACTGAAGGGGGATAATTCTGGACATGAAACTGTTACAGTTTATTGGTCCCTTTGTTGTATTGTGTTGATGATGGGATTAGGATAGCTGATTCTAGGAGTAGCTGACTCCGGGTGTAGATGAGTAGATCACCCTATGATACACTCAGGAGATAATCCCATCACATGTGTCTCCTCCCTCCCTATTCATTCATTAAGGCATCGGGGAGGGGATGTCTGTTTGCATGCTTTTCATGTGTGATTGCGTTATGTGTTTAGACCCCCAGAGCTGTATATATACTGAGCTGGTCTTCAATAAAGCAGATCTTGGTCTAATGATTGAGTGGTTTAGCGTTCTGTCCTAAGATATTGGTTCTGTCCAATAATTAGGCAGGTTTGGGCTGATGACACTGGGATTCGGGTTCCAGCGGAGAGGAAGCTGTTTTTCTGGAAGGGTGTCACAATGTATCAGGACCGGTCACAGGAATGGTGTCACAATGTATCATGACCGGTCACAGGAATGGTGTCACAATGTATCAGGACCGGTCACAGGAATGGTGTCACAATGTATCAGGACCGGTCACAGGAATGGTGTCACAATGTAACAGGACCAGTCACAGGAATGTTGTCACCATGTATGAGGACCGGTCACAGTAATGTTGTCACAATGTATCAGGACCGGTCACAGGAATGGTGTCACAATGTATCAGGACCAGTCACAGTAATGTTGGCACAATGTATCAGGACCGGTCACAGTAATGTTGGCACAATGTATCAGGACCAGTCACAGTAATGTTGGCACAATGTATCAGGACCGGTCACAGTAATGTTGGCACAATGTATCAGGAGCGGTCACAGTAATGTGGTCACCATGATACTCACTGGTCGTTGACCACGAAGATGCAGTTGTCCTGGGAGGGCAGCCCTGTCACCGGGTGTTTACACGTCACTTTCCTCTCATTGTGGCTGCAAAATAAAAAGAAACCATCACAGGAGGTCCAGATATGAGACAGAAATAATTGACTTGTGATCAGAGGACTTTACAATGAGACCATCGGAGACTATTCTAGGACCGATCACAGATCATCGTCTGCTGCAAGAGGTGATTTCCGACTTCCTCAATGGCAGAAAACAGAAAATCACCTAGAACGCCACATCTCATCTACAGAAGAATCAGAACCATGGAATACTCCCAAATAACCAAGGAATCTGAATCTAAAAAGTGAACCTGATAAAAATCGGCGTCACCAACCATCCTGGATGTGCAGCCTGATCGGCTCTGGTCACTACGATCCTGAGTAACATGTCTCAGGACTGGGGATGTCACCTTTCTGTGCATCCAGGGACATGTTCACAGCGGCTCAGAAAAAGGGTCAAACCACCAGGCTGAGGAGTATTTGAACATTTCTTGTTATTTATCACATGACAGACGGTTAACCCCTGCAAGCCCACACTTTTTACGAATTGCTTCCTGACCGACAAATACTCTCATCACTCCCAACATCTCCCTCAATAGACACGTCATAGAACGTCACAGCCACGGAGGATGGAGCCATTATGAGCAAAGAAAATCTGGCTTTACAAATGCAACATTTATTTAATGAAAAAAAAGGCAAAAATCGCACAGAAAAGTTAAAATGCCACAGACATTCAGCTTTTGTGAATGGACCCCAATATTGTACAAACTCTGGCCCTCCAGCTGTGGTGCAACTACAAGTCCCATTGGGCGCTGCAAGACATGGACAGCCACAGGCATGACTCTCAGAGGCAAATACATGATGGGATTGGTGGTTCTGCCACAGTTGGAGGGTCAGAGTTTGCCTACTTTTGTTGTATTTGGCTGTCGTGTTCTGTACCCCAAATTTACAGCAAATATGGCTACTCCTCAGAAGGGAGCACCACAAATAGAACCGAGGTAAAAGGCAAGTGATCAGATGGCTGTGGGCAACCTTCTGGATCTACGTTCCTCAATTCCGCCCTCTCGTCACTTCCCATCAGACAATTCTCTCCGGATAAAAAGAAGATGGAGTATTTATATAAAGCCATCAGTGTACTCTGTAATTGACCAACTTTCACATCAGCCCGGACAGGACGGTCACAAAGAATTATTCACACCCCCTAGCAGGCGCTCGATGTCCAGGGGGGCTCAGTGCTGCAGCAGAATTACGACCGCTTATTAGAACGTCGTTAAATCCTATTTCACGTCTACAAGCTTCACACAAATCTCCAAAGCTCATAATAATTCTTAAATCTCTTTTTCCCCAAACTGAACTACTCGTTATCCCATCTCAGAGAGGAATTATGAGCTCAATCTGTCTGCAGGAATTTATCTCACACACCGAGCACCATTCACCGCAGATGGTATGGATGTTACCATTACACACATCCCTTAGAAGGCGGAGGAGGGAGACGCCGGTGGCCCCGTGATGGTAAACTGTGACCAAATTAAGGTGTGCCGGATATGCCAGGAACCGGCTATGCAGCCACAGGCCATGCATCAGTTCGGGGAAGGACAGAGTGTCACCATCTGTACCGAGCGGCATTTCCAATAAACTGGCTACTTGGTGTCACTAAAAACTACAACAGATCCCAATGAAAAAACTACTGGGTCATGAATATACTGGGTGCCAACAGGGCATCCCCCTCCCATCCTCCAGGGTGCTGTCACCCCTCTGCCCTGGTGGACGTCATGTCTCTTGGCTTCTCCTATTGCTGGCCAGCTGCACTATTTGTAGATGTGCCCACTGGCCCACTGTTCCTTCTACTATATCCATGACTGATATAAAATCTAGGTTTGTATACATGAAGAACATTCATAGGCATGAAGGTTCCTCTTGGCACTCCTGTATACAGTTCTGCAATTACTGCTTTCGATCTGTATTGTGGAGCCTGTCCTTACGTTTACAGACCAGATTCTAGTTTCGGATTTTCTGTCACCAAAAGGGAGACTGGGAAACTTAGAGCACCATGCAGGGAGGCCAATATATCCTTGTAGGGTTCCTGGTAAAAACAGGAATATGGAGCTGCCATTGCCAATGTGATTTGTAAATGCACTCACTAGGGCCATTAGTCTTATCCTCGGTTTATTGATGGGACATTGAATGTCATGAATAAATCAGGTGTCCTAACATGCGCATGATGGTTCCATGTATTATTATTCAGGATTTCTATAGCGCCAACAGTTTGTGCAGCGCTTTACAATATAAGGAAGACATTACAATTACAATTCAATTCAAGACAATATTGTGAGGAGGGCATGTAACCCACCAAGTGATGAGGGGAGGATGACTATGACAGCTTCATGGCTGTGTCAATGACATCATTTTGAGACTCTTCTGAGACCTTTTAGAATTCATGAAAGGCGCATTTGGCCTGCACCTTCTGGCCTGCATTTGACCTGAACCTTCTGGCCTGCATTTGACCTGAACCTTCTGGCCTGCATTTGACCTGCTACAAGTGGGTTTTACATTTCTATAGGCTTGTATAGGAAAGCAAAACCTGCTTAAAATGGACAAAAGCCCATCAACTCGGGCCCCTCTACACCTTATAAATAAGTCAGCCGTGGCAGTTCCCATAGCCTTCTAAGGTTGTTCTACCACCTCAGGGAGATCCTGACCCTCACTATGGACATAGAGAAACCAGATAAACCAACAACGCCTCCATTACAAGTAAGCACTGGAAATACCAGGAAAAACTGAAACAGGAGACACGGTGCAGGCTGATAGAACTGATTGGAGGTGGATGGGGAAAGGCACTTGGCTCTTTCGGCATCGTAGTATGTCATTTGTCTCTTCCACCTCCGGGGAGTAATATATTCCACAGACGCTGGATCCTCGGTTACACATAATATCCATGTACACATATAATGACAGACCTCGGATGGGCGCAGAGCAGACCAGGAATGAGATGGGCTGGTACAACGTTTATGGTCTGGCAGACTTTATGCACATTATTAACTTTGGTTAAATTGGCACCAGCTGCAGATTCCGAGAGGCTCAGGACAACAGAAGGTCCCATCAAATGTGCCAGGACAACATGAGGAAACTGAACATTCAGCACTCCCTACGGTCAATGCTCGGGTGATATGAGAGCTTCTGAACTGCTGTCCTGTCCTAACATCTGGAACACAAGGCAGATTGGTGTTACTTGAGCAGAGGAAGCTTCACTGTCATGAAATGTCAAGTCTAAAAGTTGTGCCTTATCATTGGTGCCGAAATCTTGTGAGTGTGGAACCAGGAGGCGACTAGGGATGTCCCAATACCACTTTTTTAAGACCAAAGTACAAGTACTTTTCCTCAGGTACTTGCCGATACCAATTACCGATACTTTCTCTTAAAGGGACATGTGACTTTTTTCTAAAACAGTACAGACTGATGATTTTAGGGCAGGGTCTCTCCGGGGCTGCCTGCGTGGGTCTCCCCAGGAAGGCGATAGCCTGAAAGGGTGGGTGGTGAGCTGAAAGGGTGCAGACAACAGAACACTGGTTCTGGGGGCTGTCCAGTGCTGTGCCTGCACCAGGAAGGAGCCGGAGAAGATGTGGGACCAGAGAGGCACTGTCAAAGACAGCTACTTCCAGGTGCCCGCAAGCGCGGGACATCAGGCAGCCGATCCAGATTAAACATTTAAAGGGGCGGTATCGGCCTTCAGTATCGGCCCAATACCAGTATTGGGACATCCCTAGAGTCCATTTCTGGGGTTCATTTTCTTCTGCAGAAGTATAAGCAGTACTAGGACACACAGCCGACCAGATTGCAGCTATTGTAAAAGAAGAGATAGTATTGCTCCGGGCAACCGAAGTTTGCTGCCACTTTGGATAAAGTTGATGCATTACATAAAGGAGAGGTATCGTGGACGGAGCTATAAATATATAAGAAAACATAAATCCATGGCGGCACTGTACACGCCACTTGCGCACACTTCACCGACCGCTGACAGCCGAAGAGCACAAGCTGCTCATTTATCAATGAGGTTTCTAATCAAGCCATGTAAATGAGAAGTAAAATGATGGAACGAAGGCTAATTATCACGGTGAAGGACCGTTCCACTGCAATTACACACCATAAAGGTCTCTTCGCCGCCATGCACCGACTTTAATTGGAATTAATGTACTTCCCCGGTCCGGTGCCGTCTGAGGCTCCTTAATAAACACTTATTTCTTCCTCTTCAAAATCAACTTTTACATAATGCTGAGAGCACTCAAAGTTTTACAGTAAACGTGTCTGGCAGGGCAGGAGATGTGAACTTAATATTAATAAAGGCTTCATAATGAGAAGAAACTTCTGGCGGATGTATGGCGATGGAAATTGGCGGCCAATCCACCCTACTGCATGATTACCAACCTCCGAATTATGGCGCCATCTATACCACCAAATGGACAAGAAAATGTCTTTCCTGGTCATCTCCTCTGTACCCCATATCTAATAATACAAGCATTAGGAGCTGCTGTGACAGATCCGCCATGGGTGTGATGGGTCATGGCCATGCATAGAAAGGCAACCCCAACAACCACATATATGTCTTCAGCTTAGAATAACATTACAGTAAACTCCCAGTTATTCGGCACCCATGGGGGATTGGTAGATGCCGGATAACTGTAGCTTCTGGTTGCTTGAGAGTTAATAGTAACTCCCCCTAACTCCGCCCAATTCATCTGCTGGCTAGATTCTGCTATTGGCCATTTTAAATTGCAGGCTGGCTATTGCGCACGCCCACTGCACATTGATTACATTCACCTGCCAGCTAAGGAAACTAGCCGTCGGCTGCAGCAAGATGTAAACAGAGAATTTCGTTAGCACCTAAATAAATTAAGTTGCTAACAAAATTTTTTAGCGTGCACGTGTCTATGAAGCAACTGGCAAAAAAATAATTAAGGACATATGATATCAATTTTTTTTCTGGTTGCTTGAGAGTTCTGGTTGCTTGAATGACGGATAATGGAGAGTGTCCTGTATATTAAATAGATATGC